GGCGAAAGCGCGGCCCGCAGGACCGCGCTTTCGCCGCGCGGCTGGTTTGGCTTTCGCGCTGGTTAGATTTTCGCGCACGCATTTGGTTACCAATATCGCCCTCCGGGCGCGATCTTCATACGGCGGAAGCTTCTGCCCTTGTCTTCTTGCAAGACAAATGTGATTTGTGACCTCAAATCAGCAACGTGTGCGAAGTATGTATTTATAGCTCTGGAACAGGTAGTGTAATGCAGGCAGAAGGATAGGTTCTGCTCCAGCTGCGGATGAAGAACTATGCAAGCCCCTATATAGCCGAGATCAGGGAACGCAGACGCGGCAGGCGGCTTTGTAGGGTAACACTAACACCAAAGCAGGCAACCACTAAAATTAAGCGATGCGGGGCCGTTAGGATTTCCCTGCTTTTCCTATGGCGGATACTTCCTTTTGGCGCGGGCGAATCAGCACGGGTCTGCTGAACCTAAACCCGGGTAATGAATGCAGCTACTAGCAGGACTCCGGTTGCTCAGTCGGGAGTGCTGAATAAGTCGACACTGTAGAGCACTGCAGGAAGCGGTCCTGTTGGCGCTAGGCAGGCGGGTGGCGAATATCCGTATTTGCGAATAAGGGATGCGGCCTATAGCCTCTCTTCGCATCTATCGAATATGTAGTTTCGGACGGTCATGCACAGTGTCGCTTTTTGCTTCTCCGCTTGGTATGCTATCTGTCATGCAAAATGTCGCCATCTCCGCTTTGTAGGGTTCACTCGACAGAGACATGGTGCCGCAACTAGCGGTTTTTAGAACGGCGAAGAGGGGTCGGGCTTCTTCCTTGCTTTGTTTTCCTTTTGCGGATACTACCCTTGGCGTGATTCCGGCCCACTCGCAGGGGTCGACGCGGTGTATGAGAGTTCGTGGTCGCCTCCGTCAACACAAGACCTCGGCACTACCCGAGGTTCGCCGACCGCACGGGGGGTGCAGGACTCGGCTCGGCAAGGGATACGGACATCTGGACCCGGATTGTGATCTCCCTCAGGGGGGAGGGATGAAGCTTCATTCCTTATCTGGCTTCTCCTCCGTCCCTGTTTCCTCTCGCTGCTATCACGACGCGCTGAAGACGGGATGGCGCCGGCGACGTTTACCGGTGCTGGAGGCGGCTGGCGTCCATGGAAGTGGTCACTCTGGCTTATCGCGGTACGGTGTCCCAGGCGGTACGGGCGGTAGATTGCGGTCTACGTCGGGCGGTACACGGTGCTCGCGGCGCGTGGAGGCGGAGTCTTCATACCTTACGATGGAATTTGGGTTTCCTGCTGCTTCTCCCGAGCGAGGCCGTCTTGCCTTCCACTCAGGGCTCTCGTGGATTGAGCCTGGCGGGAAATTCCCGTTGCGCGAGGCTCTTGCCAGGAGTTCGTCCACGCTTGCCGACGCTGCTTCGGGGGTAGACGGGGTCAGGGTGGCTATCGGAGCTTGCTCCGGGGCTTGCGGTGTGGGGGCGGGTTCATGGGGCTGTGCCCGGGCTCAGCAAGGGTTCTTCCCCTGTCTGTGCTCCCTCGTGTTCACACTCCCGTGCTGCTTGACTGGTAGTCATTTTGGCTTTTGTTTTTCCTCCGTCGCGGTCGTTTGGTCCCCAGGGCTGCTACGGACAGGGCCCCCTGGGTTACCTCGGTCGAGTGGTCGTGCGGTTCGGTTCTCCGATGCCCATGCCTTCCGTGTACTTGCCGCTGGGTACTGGTTGTGCGTCTCTTTCGTCAGACTGTTTCGCTTCGGCGAAACGACATGACGATTGTTTGGGGAGGTTCCGAACGGTCCCCTCAGGGCATTGCCTCGTCGCTGACCTGTGGTGAAGGCGGTTCAGGTCAGCTTCGGGAAGGGTATCCGGAGTTGAGTTAGCTTCGGCTTTCTATTGTGTATTCGAGGGCAGTGGTTGGCGGAGGTTGTTGGGATGTTCCTAAACAGTCATCCCAGAACATTTGTGTTCCTTTCTGACTTCCTCATTTCCTGTGCAGTATTTTACTGCATATACAGGCGCCACCCTCGTTTATCACCTCCAGGGCTACGTGCGACCCCTCCGACGCTGCGTGTGGAACAAGGAGGAAGTTCGGCGTGTCGGGTGAGGGACCCCCGACGTCTGGCCTACGGATATCATGGGGAACTAAGGCTCAAATCAGCAACGCAAATTTTCGGAAAGATACCTTTTTCGATACGGGGAGGGGGGATTTTTCCTCTCAATATCTTGTCCCGGATCTTTCCCGCCGAATAATACGTACAACGCCCTGCAGTAGTACTATGGAAGAAGGGGAGAATCAAAACTTGTACCGCGGGGAAGTGCAACGTGGTCGCACAATGTCTAGTACCGACGTTGTGTTCACCATCACCGCCCGGATGCGAACTACAACCGCCAGCAGTGCTGTCCACCAGCAGGACAACTTTTTACGGACGAGAGCCGAGACGGACTGCAGTACCGCGGCTTCTCACGGCGGTGGCGACGAGTCGAGCGACATTTCCTCTTCGTTCGTGGACGATGAAGGAGGTGTTGTTCCGTCGTGGTCCAGTACGACGTCCCTGTCGGAAGAACAACCTAAAGGGAAAACCGAAAACAAGTGTCTCGAGCAGAACAAATGAGCTGCCCGGAGGAGGTTGTAGTGCTATTTCTCGCAGGGGGAGGGGTCCTGGAGGTATGTTCAATCTCCAGCGAGAATAGTGAAGAGAATCTGGCATCGGGACAGAAATAAAGGATACACGGGACGTAGAGACCGACGAGTGCTTGATGGCTTGCAACCTAGATCTTTCACTTGCTATCATGTTGGCAATAAATTATCGCTACTGCGGATGGAGCGGTTGCGACTCTTGTGCAAAGAAAAGCAAGTCAGTCAGCTGTTTTTTTCTATTTATGCTTTCATTTTCCGTTGAAAACTTTTCTAGAAGGATCGAAGTCGGCTTTTCGTACTGCGACCCTTGTTCGTAAACCATTTGAATGTCGTTGAATATCTATCATTCGATGCTACAGCAAAACCACAACTGTCAAACGTAACAGTCTTGAAGTGTAATTTCAGCAGTATCTATAAGCTCGTGGCGGTTTTAATATTCGTTGGGTTCCTGCTTCTGCCGAAAGAAGTGACAGCTTTTCGAAGTACTTGATATAGATCAAGTCCATAGTACTATCTATTTTTACTGTAGAAAGATAGTTGCTGCTAATTAGTACATTAAGGTGGAGGTGCAAGAACCTCTACTCGTCCTGCTCTCACACGTGGAAAACATGGGAGCTGCAAAGGACGGGGTCTTTTTGTCGTAGTAAGCACTTCTTCTCTACAACGGTGCCTACATTTATTTCTTCTTCCTGAACAAGTGCTATGAAGAAAAGATATTTTCCACCCGCGGCCTAATTACTCTCGCTGATTGTGATTGAGAATCTTTGTGTTGTACTTGTACCTTCTGACAAAATTTATCGAAAAACAGAATGTTGTACTCGAGAGGACACTGATTAAGCCCATGGCCTGTCTCTGTTCATTTTTGGACTCGATCTCGATTGTGGGATGTTGACTCTGGAGATGCATTTAAACTTAAAGTTGTTCTCATTTTCATGTTTTGCTTATTTTGGTGTGCAGTTATACTACACGAATTTAAATTTTTTTGATATGTTGATGAGGATCCTGTCATCTAGTGATCTTCGTCTAGTATTTGGTAACATTATTGAGCTAGGTACCGGTACGACATGAAACTAACAGTCGTGACCTTCGCTACATGTTGATCTTCCGACCTACGCCTGGATTCGAACCATTGCTGGAATTTTACACAAGCATCCGGTCGTACTCCGGTCTGTCATTTCGTCGACGGATGTTGTAGTCTCTTGTCGGTCCTCTCATTGTACTCATCTACGCGTTCTTGCCGTTGTATCCATACAAAATAAACTTGTTCTTTTTCTTGCGCGAGGACCTTGTTTCACCGGATCTGAAAAAGTAGACGACAAGTTGTACAACTATCATGCCGCCTGCGACACAAAATAAAGTACTAGACGATGGTCGTGAAGATGCGCGGCCAAGCTCTCTGCCCGTTGCTGCCTCCCCGTCACCCTCGTCTGATGAAGTTCTTGCAACTTCTTCTACCAAAAACGTCAGCAGCACCTGGTTCCTCGGCGTCCTGGCCGCCTTTCTCGCGGGGCTGGCCTACGCGACGCAGACGACCCTGATAGGCGAGACCAAGAAGCAAAACATCACGTTATCCCATGTAAAAACGTCCCCAACCCATAGTCAAGATGGGGACTTGGCTACACAAAGCCAGCCTCTTTTGGCTGTCGCGCATGACAAGTTTGGGCTCGCCGTGTCATCGCGTTTAGCTATTGTAGCTGCGTCACAAATCCTAATCCATCCCCTCATGCTGATTCTAGCATAACAAACTGCCAGACAGCATTACATACAGAATGCTCCTCGGGCTTCTGCATGACAAACATGTAAGGTTTGCAGGTTTGCATGACAACTATGGCGTCGGGAGGTTTTTCCTCAGGATACACGTATGATTCGCAAATCATGGTGCTCGCAGCGGAGCTGGTGAAGCTGATGACATCGTTGGTGTTAGGGGTGAGGATGGAGCTGCGGGGGTTTAGGGGACGAAAGCACAAAACCTCCGAGACAGGAGGCCCTGCTACAGCACGACCGAGGATGGAAACAGATACAGCCAGCACTAGTAGCTTTGCTGGCACTGTTGAGATGTTGCCCTCTACTTCTAAGGAGGTGGGAGTAGATGAGAAACAGCAGAAGTCTACTAGTACAACGTCATCATCCACTTCAGCCCCCGCCTTTCTTCACGGCCGCAACAAGTGGTTCTTTCAGGAACTTTTGATTCTCCTGCCCGCGGCCTGCTACACCGTGCAGAACAACTTGATTTTCTTGACCCTATCCAAAGGCTACCTGGATCCGCCGCACTACCAGCTTTTTTGCAACGCGAAGATCGCGATTACGTCGATCTTGTATCGAGTGGTCATGCGGAAAGCGCTAACCGTTATCCAGTGGTGCGCGCTCGGGTTACTCACGGTTGGAATGCTGGTGTGTGCGCTGCCGGACGATGATAGGACGAGCGGAGAAGCTGATCTTGCAAGCAGAAGCAGTAGTACGACAGGGACATCAGAAAGCAGCAAGGACAACACGAATTTCCTTTTCGGCATTTTGTGTGTCGCGGGAATATCCTGCTGCTCGGGCGTTGCCGGGGTGACGAACGAGTTTTTGCTCAAGACCGCCGACAATATGCACTTTGCGAATGCGAAGATGTACATAGCGGGAATAATCGTCAGCATTGTGCTGTACCATGTCGAAGGACATAGTCGAACATCGAACCAAAGGTCAAGATCCACCGAAAAGAGCTATTTCTTTAGTATTACAACGGAAACAACTACCAGCAGCTTCATCGAAAATCTTCACACCTTTTCACACCAACTTTTCCTCGACAGCAACACGAGACTACTGCTCCTCGCCTGCCTGCTTTCCCAGGCCTTCCTCGGCATGTGCATCTCGTTCATTTTTAAGTTTGGGAACGTGATTCTGAAGATCTATCAAGCGAGTCTGACCACTTTGCTAACCACGGTTTTGGCGGTTGTCCTTCAAGACTTCAGAATATCGAAGCCATTCGCGTATGCATTGCAAGAGTATCGGACTCGTACAAATGCTGTCAACACTGCAAGACAGGTTTGCTTTCTTAGCTAAATCTGCATGACAAATTGCATTTTTTTCTTGCGAAAATTTCAATTTGTAATGCAAGTCTTTCATACTAGTACGATCGGATACTTTTGCAATGCATATCGCACTGGGCTACGTGATTTTGCTCTTCTCCACCTTCTTTTTCTATGGAGATCCGCTGGTGCTGCACAAGCGCGATCACGAAGTTTTCTCCTCGATATGTTGTAGTAGCCCCGGCAGAGCAGGTGGAAGTGACATGAACGAAAAAGATTCGCACAGTACGAGTAAGAAGAGAAAGCAAGCTTAGTCCCAGGAATGGCCTGGGCTCCGTTGAATGAACGAATGACGTGATGTCACGACGTGAAATAAGTCCACGAATTCCATATGAATCTTCGGCGGGACTGGAAATTGTGAAGCTCAATCTTGTTGAAGTTGATCTTGTTCTGGCGTGTCAGAGATGTTCCGCGATGGACTTGAGGCAAATTCGTTCCGTGAAGCACGTTTTGCCTGCTCTTCGTTGTAGAATAAAGTAGAGCTTGCAGAGAAGTCTTTCTTAGTCTCTTCACCGCGCGTCGTGCAGCTCCAGGAGCGCCACAAAATTTTCAATGAGTGCATCAACATTAAAGGGAGGGCGAGAGTTCTTAACTTCAAGCCCTGGCACTGGGTTGTTTCGACCCTTGCTTTTTACCACGAGAGTGAACGTTTTCTAGTCGTAGCTTGCGCACGGTACGACCTTTTTGGACACGCAGGACTAACACTGAGCTGGGCAGCCAAAGCCATTCGATACGATTACGAAAATTGCATATCCTTCTCTTGTAAACTACCACGTGGTGGTCGCGGTGGGTTGTCACAGATGAAGAATGTTCGGAGGTGCGACGTCTGCATCTAGTTCCGCTGCTTCTAGTACACGCGCAGCGAATAGAACAAGCGGACCGATGAATGCTTTTCCGACCACCTCTACCGGCGCCGGAGGAGGCCCAGGTGGAGCCGCTGGCGTTTACCTCCTGCAAACGGGTACGGGTCCAGCGACGAGTAGCACTTCTTCATCTGCTGCTGCGACAAGTTCTTTGTCCCGCTACCAGTCAATTTTGGACAAGCAAAACGAGTTGCTGCAACTTGGGAACGTCAATCCGGACCAGGATTTGATCGAAGAAACAGTCTACGAAGCCGTCGAGCGGGAGTTTATTGCGTACCAATCGGACATCGATTTTCTGACGACCCAGAACCAGGAACTCGAGCGATTCATAGAAAAGCAGAAGGAGAGGCATAAGGAGGAATTGCAAACCGAACGGGAGAAATCCTACAGTAGCGCGAAGCAACAGTTTGAGGAGATAATCGAGAACCAAAGGCAGCAACTGAACCGGTTCGCTCTGGAGCAGCCCCAGCAGCGCCAGCTCCTGCAGAACCAGGAGCGGTTGTCAAACAATCTGCAGCGGCAGTTGCAAATCAGCGAAGACTTGCGGCGGGAGGTGTCGCGGTTGGAGGATGAATTGGAACTGAAGGAATACGAGGTGCGGAAATTCGACGAAAAGTCCGCATATCCAGTGCAAATATGTCTGGGTGGTCTTGATAAAAAGGGTCATGCGATGCTGGTGAGCCTTGCATGACAAAGCAGCTTTATGCATGTTGGCATGAGCACATCACAAGCTTTTTCCGTATTCTTCGGATTTTTCCATTCGTATTTATGATCACAAATGACCTTCCAGAACGACAAGAAAACTGGCCAAAAATCCTGTTTATGCAATACAGATTGTGGTGTCGCGCAACTTTCGCATTACAAATCCATTAAAATCCAGACCCAGACATGATATTTGCAACCCATACCTAAAACCTGGAGTACCGCGTGCAGGAAGCCATGAAGGCGGTAAGACGGGCGTTCGCCGGGTTTCTATGACAGTGCACAACTCCCCCTTCCCTCATTTGTCATCCGAAAACCCAAATCCAGTTGCTACCTTGTGGCACCGCGTGCATGACAAATTCCGGAATAAATCCAAACAGCGCATGGACCTGTCATGCACAGGGTCCACCTGTACTGGTGTTTGTAATGCTGTTGATGTCAACATGCAAATGAGGTGGAGGGGGAGTTGTGCACAACTCTCATAGTTTCAGCGGGAGGAGGATAAAGCGAAGAAGTTGATCGCGGAGAAGGAAAGACTGGTCGCGAGTCATGAGCAGGTACTTGATTTGTAATGCAAAATTGCACCAGAAACTTGATTTGTATTTGTAATGCCAAATTGCACCAGAAACTTGATTTGATGTATTGCCAAATTGCACCTCAGTATCAACAATCTGCTATGCCAACAAAACAGGAGCGCACCTCCCTTCTCTCCGAGCGCGCGAGCCTGCGGAAGGAGCTGCACCGAAAGATGAAGGGACAAAAGGACATGGTGGAGCAGCTGCGGGACCTCCAGGCGCCGGAGGACACCGCGGCGAAAGAGATAAGGCGGGAACAGGACCAGCAGGCACTGGTGAAGATTCTGCAACACCAAGTGCAGTCACTCCAGGCAAAATTGGTGGACTCTTTGAAGAGGGAACAGACAAATACGAGTGCAATAAGTGCTGGTGGAACTACGTCGATGAATAACAACAACACGTCTGGGATCATGAATACCAGCAGCCACAGCAGCTTCATGAAGGCGCTAAAGTCATGAAAAATTTCATCAATTTACGACGTTGAAGTCTGCATGACCGGCGCCAGGGGGGGCGGTTCATGTACGTAAGATGTTCTTGTCGTATCAGACAACGAGTATTGAGCCACCGGTGTTCCGCCTGTTGATACTTACTTACACAGTTACCGTCCTAGCGATCATGGGAGGTTGTTTGTAATATCTGGCGGAGTAGTTTCTGAGGGGTTCTCGAAGCGGTTCTGCACATGTTGAGAGTCGTGTAATTGAATGAAATGTAAATGTAGATGTACCATGATACAACTGACCGACAACCATCTCGGTACAACTAGTCCCACTGCTGGGAAGAGAAGGCTTAAGGGTAGGAGGAGGGTAGCAGTAGCACCATTTCGGCATTTCGGTGTGGGTCGTGCGTGTGCTAGTCCTTGCTAGTTTTTTTCGAATTTGTACCAAATTGTTTTATTTCGTTGTGATGTGCTTATCAGAGGCCCCCACCTGCTCCCGCGTACTAAATGTAATGCGCATACGTACTTCTAGTGCTACTTCTCCGAATTAGGGCGGAAAAATCGGCAAATAGCATCATTTTTGTCAGCTCACACTTTGGGGGGGTATTTTTTTTTCTTTTGTCTGGGAGTCAACTACCCGGAAATCAACAGAAGTAAAGCATCGCTTCATCTTTTCCACAAGAAAAAGAAACATGATAGCTCGGCTTTCAAAAGGCCTTCATAGCAAGACACGAAACAGGCGGCAGCGCCTTCGTGCTGTGCGTTGTCGCTCAGATGGCCCGGCAATGTTGAATAGGCCCGCTCTTCGAGAAGTGGCTGGGCCACCTCCGGGACCGGACCACAGCGAGGACGTTCGCCACGAAGAGGGAACCCGGCGAGGGGGGTGATCAGGGGGGCGCATTTTTGCCCTCTTCGGAGACCCCTTCCGGGTACCCCTTCCGGGCACCCTTTCGGTAGCCTATTCCGACCCCCTAATCCCCATTGGAAACTGCCGATTTTGCGTGCCCCAAAATGGTAGCCCAGAGGCAGCCCAAGCGGACCCCCTTACCCCCCCCCTTCGGCACCCCCCCGGAAGCACTTGACTGCTGGCGCGTCCGCATTCTCAATATCTGGCCGTAGAGGGAAGGCGCGAAGATGTCTGGGCGCGTCCGGAATTGGATGCCGGAGAGGGGGCGCGGCTGCCCGCGCCGGGGGGCCGCAGGCCTATGCAGCTTCAGCAAAATGCTGCGGCTCTATTGGGAAAAGGGGAGGGCCGGATGGCGGACCGTGACAACGAAGAGCGGCGCCAGCATCTAAATGGCCAACAGGAAAAAAAGCAGTAGCGACACCCCCAATAGCCATAATTTTTTTGCGCCCTCAAAAAGTGCGCTTGCAAAAATGATGCTATTTGCCGATTTTTCCGCCCTAACCGAAGTGTGTTTTAGCATTGTCAAAAAAACAAACTATAGCTGAAGTTTTTTCATCGGCGCGGGGCTCCTGTGCGGGGTACGACAACTAGGGCAGCATGTTGTAGTACGTAGATGTTTGATGTTTATCGGATCGAGCGCTTAGACGGCGGTTTATATGGAATGAAAAAAACCTGTTTTAATTTTTTGAGGAAATGATGAACTTTTAAAGAAGCTGAGTCGTAAATTGAAATTTAAGAACGCACTTTGCTGAACTCGACCAGCACTTAATTTTAAACTTTGCGTGTGTATCTTCTTCGCGCCGGACGAGTTAAGTACTTACTTACTTGTTTTTGCCCCCTCATTTGAAAAATATACGCAAATTCAAAATATTTTTACGCATATAAAAAATACAAGCATGTCGAGGATTCTCTGTTGTCTGCCTTCGTGCTGCACGACAAACTGCACTTTGAAGAAATTTACGCTAATCACCTTGTCTACCGCTTTCTTTTCCATTATCCTGTATCAAATGCAAAAATGTTTGGGTCTGGAAGAATGCGCGATTTGTCATGCAGCTTTTCCATGACCCATGAGGTCTGGAATGCAGGACCTAGCATGACAGATTCTGTGCGATCTCTCTCATGCCTATCCTGCATGAGAAACTCCCTCCCGACTTGGTCAAAACTGGACGACTTTTGGTAATCATGCAACACAGATTTTTGGATGCTTCAGATTTAGCATGACAAGTTGCATTCTTCCAGACCCAGACATTTTTACATTTGATATCCTGGCCCTCTACCTCATCCTGGACCCGAAAGTTTGCTTCACCAGCCCCGAGAACAAGGACACTATCAACGGCAAAAAATATGTCTGGGTCGTCTGGAAGTACAAGTAGAGTGCTAGGTTCGTTATGCAGGGCTAGCATGACTTTGACTCTCAACCTCAACTGTGTCATGCACGTTAATACGCAAAAGCCGCGCTTTTCTGTCATGCAGAGACGCAGTTTATCATCATGCAAGGTACTAGACAACGCTTAGCACGAGCTGAGAAAAAAATTATCATACTTACTTGGCTGTCAATGGAGGCGTGGCGTCGGTCCACCGTGTGATTCGCCACATAGCATCACAAGTTCTTTCCAGACCACCCAGACATCCTGTTTGCAATGTCGATAGACACTCCTTTGATATCACAAGAAAAAAGTGTTACTGTTACACATGATTTGTTGTAACTTCAGCAACACAAATTTTCTCTGCATGAGAGGGAAAACTTGCAATGCGCAGACCATTAGGGAAAACGCGTATGAAATGAAGCTCGGAAGCATTTCTGGCATGACAGAGGTTGTCTGTCATGCTGGGCTTGCTACACAATGTGTAACTGTAACACTTTTTTCTCGTGATATTTGAAGCAATGTCTGTACTACCGGTTGCGGAAGGGGCTGCAGTTGGTTGCGAAAGAGTCCTACAAGCCACCACACCTTCGCGCGGATCGGTTCAGGTTAAGAGAATTCTGCCAGGCGGAATACCACTTCTTCCAAAACCCCTGGGAGTACGTCTACCCGAGAATGACAGAATCCGGAACGGCGCGGCTGCAAATCGGGTTCGGGACGCGCGAGAAGAATGAGGATATTTTAACAAAAGACGAAACCGGAGCGAGAGCTCTGCCGGTGAAATCACGGAAATTTTTTCAAAAGATAAAACCAGCGGCGGGAACAGCAACGACGAGTACTGCGCCATCCTCTAAAGCACCTGCTGCTGCGTTCGTGGAACTTACCACCACCTCAACCTGCTCCTCGCAGATTGACAAAATTTGGGCCGGTATTGCGCAGCGATTCATAGACCAAGCTGCAGCTGGAGCTGGAGGACGGGAACTAGAAAATGCTGCGAGTACAACATCAAGCGCGCCGAAAAATTCTAGAATAACGGCTGTTGCCGCGGCTTCATCTACCGAAACCACTGGCGCCACCAGGAGAGAAATCACCAGCTACCCCCTGGTTTCCTGGTTTAAAGGCCATAACTACGCCGCTATCAATCCAAACAAGCGAACAAACTACAAGCAGGGGTTGCCAGAAGGGGCACGCTCACGACAAGCGCTGTTGAACCCGATTCATTTCACGAAAGAGATGGAGTACGCTGCCTGCGGATATCTGATTCGGCAGCTGTTTGAGCTGTTTGAAAAGTTCAACGTGGTGTATTTCATTTCCTCCGGCAGTTTAATCGGCCCGGAGCGGCACGGCATGCTGATACCACATGATCACGATTTCGACCTGACCATCCCGGCAAGCAGCCGGGACAAGGCCATGGAAGTGCTGGCGCTGTTGGAACAGCGGGAATATGAGAGGCGGGAAAAAGGAAGGAGAAGGGTGCGGCAGGTTGAGGCAGGTACTCAAACTTTGTTGGAACGGAAGTAAAGCACAGTAGACAAGGAAGTATATCTGTTGACAAGATCTTGATCTTCAAGATTCTTGTATCGAATCGAGTTCTTCATAACAAATGTGAGTACAAAATAAATGCCAATTATATCACAACAGCTGGCCAGCACCTCGACCTGCGTAAAACGGAGGACTTTCTCGCGGCGGTCGATGCCGGTATGATGACCACCTGCAAATGGAAGGGGTCTTTGGTGCAGGTGCGATCCACGTTTTACAACGGGTTGCACTCCGAACTGTTTTACGTGGACATTTTTTGGGGCTACGACGTGCCGATGATAGGAACGTACTTCGTGAATCAGCCAAAGATTCTTTTGACGACGGCCGCGTCTACCAGCAGTCCGAGCAGCAGCGCCTCCCAATCTTCCGCAGCTCTTCTAGTCGCTGGCCGCAGCAGCAACATCCAGCACCAAATAAAGAACGCTGCGGCCTTGAGAACAAGAACGACCACGACGCAAGTGCGCGGAAGATCGCTTTTCCGCGGTGAGCACGGGAAGAAAGACAAGGAAATGTTGAAGAGCCATGACGATAGCGTCGAACAACCCCGAGAGGACCACCACGACGTTTGTCTCGCCCAGAACACTGGTCCTGCAATCGACCCGACCGGTCCTTATCTCGCCCACGCCTCACCCGTGAACTTCTTTCCGCAGAAGCCCGGGGTGTTTCCCTTGCGCTTGACGAAGTTGGAGTATCTGAAGCACAAAGTAGACACAGCAGATGCTGCAGCAAGTGCTCAGAAAGAAGATGCCAATAAAGTACAACCAACACAGTTTATGCTCGACGACCCGGGCTTCCTCTACGTTCGCCGTCCATTAACCGCCGAGGTGGTCGATGCGGAGCACATGCCGGGGAGTGCGAGCAGTAGATGGTGGAAGAAGCGGTGTCCCCAGTCGCAGGAGCGGTGCAGCAAGCCGGGAGAGTGTAAGAACAAGAACTCGGGGGTGAAAAAGGACGATAGCTGCAAGGGAGTGTATTACGACCAGAAGATTGAAAATTGGACAAGTTTGGACGGAGATTACAAAAAGCAGCTGCTTGGACAGTGGAGCAGTCCTAAAAGTCCCGCTCTTCATCCCGTCGGAGGCCATGGCGACCAGAAAAACAGAAACAAAGCCGGCGACACGCCTTTCACCAAACTGCTCTCCCTGCCGCTGGCGGAGTTTTTACACCTCTTTTTGGAAGCGGACCAGAAGGAGATCCGGAAAATAGCGGAAGTAATCGACGTGACGGTGCAGGTGCATATGCATTTGCAAAACTACAATCGTACTTAGTATAAATCGCATCACAAATTAGCTCAGCATGAGAAATGGAATTTGTCACGCTGATTTGCCTTGGGATGGAGATTTGTAATGCATGACTGCGATTGCTATGAGTGCGATGCTTTCGCACAGGATAGTGCACTTGACGGCGCAATTTCTTCGAGTGAACGATGAAGACAAACTTTTGAAGTTTTCCGTCGATCAGGCGTATGACTGCGCGGCTGTACAACAACTAGCCAGTGATAGTCGTAGGGGTAGGACTTCTTCTATTTCTACAAGTGGTGCTAGTAAAACTAAAACAACACCGCCTCCTCTTGGTGGTGCTCTGAACAAGCACAATCTGATGAACTGCGCGGTCTATCTGGAGGTGATATCCAATCCCGAAGGTGACACCCCGATCCTCTCGGGGAAAATTCGGAAGGATTTGATCGAGAAGCGGATGCGCTGGGTCTGGGAGCAGGACGTTTTGGAAGAGGAAACACCGCTGTTTTTGGAGAACTTCCAAAGAATGCGGGAGAAGCAGAAGAATTTTTCTGTCGCGAGAACAACCTCTAGTACAGGGTCCTCGTCCTCTAGTCATCTCCCCGAGGATTCGAGAACGTCGAGAAACAAGAACGTCGACCTCTCGGTGTACAAGGCGTTCGGCGTCATGGGGGTCTTCCTCGCCTGCGTCATATGAGAGTGCACAGTGCCCCCGCCTCGCCCTCCCCGTCATTTGTATGGCCTGCTGCTGCTGTGAAGACCAGCAACAGAAGCAACGGCAGAAATGCCGCTTCCGCATGACAAGTTATCTGCACACGGAGTGTAGTACTCTTTGAGGTTTCATCGCAAGATGAACTTCTCATGCAGACAGTGGCAGTGCTTCAATGCAAGACGAGAGGTTCTTGCCGCTTCGCATAGTACTTATACAAACGAGGGGGACGTCGAGGGGAGATTTTTTGGACTCTCATACGTCACTGGCTGCATCGTGCTCTTCGTCCAGCGGAAATGGTGGCAAGCCCGGACCTCGGCCCGGGCGTTAGAATGATGAGAAAACACTACTTACATCATTGCGGTGGTTAATGCGGTGAGTCAGTGCAAGTAGACATAGAAGAGATCATGGTCCTCGGGTACTACAACTTCTAGGAGCAAGAACTGCTGGTTTTACTTGCGAAGAAGAAGATCATTTTCTCTTCGACGGGGCAACAAACTGCAGAAAAACGGGGACCAAGTGGATCATGCGGAGGGGGAACAAGTTTGATGAAATTTTAACGGCGATAATAAATTAAGGCGAAATTATGAAATAAACATCTTCACGGCCGCAGGGAGTGGGACGAACATAATTCGAGATCGCCGAGAGGAACAAGGCGCCCGGGGATGGTCCTCGCCCGGGACCGGTCCTGCTTCTTCCTGGCATCCTTGAAGACTGGACGCTGGAACACGCGACTGGCGCAGGGGACCACGGGGACGATCAGGGGAAGAGTTTTTAAAGACGAGCGCTGCACAACCACGACGTCTAGAACCTGAACCGAAATGATGAAAATATCGCACGGAGCCCGTCGTCATCGACAGTAGCAGCGGAAGCTTTCGCCGAGAAATGTTGGACGATATGAGTATAAAGATGCGGTGGGTAAGTGCAAGTGGAAGCCGCGAACAAGCCGGCGAGGACGCGGATTTGTTAAAGTGGCGAGGAAGACGATGGTCTCGATAAGGAAGCAACTATACTCCAGTCGTGGAAGACGGTGTTGATGTTGTGTACTAAAACTAGTTTCGTGTTCATCTCGGGCCGTTTAATTTCTTTCAACAGAGGTGAAATTTTCAAGAGTTATTGTGCTACTGCAATCTGGCGGCCGAATTTTGTAAGCGGTCCTGCTAGTCGTAGTCGTGCTTTCACTTCCACCAGAATTTTTTAAGACATACATCACAACGACATGACTTGATCGAAAGCAACATCCACATCTACTTAATGGTCGCAAATATTATCCGTACTAGCTGCTCACTAGAATAGATCATTCCAAAGTCACGCCGAGGTACTGTTCTGTCATGGATCTTGTGCCTTCTCCGGCATGAACCGGAGCCCCATGTTACTGTCTGATTGACGTCCTGAGAGAAACGGATTTCTCCATGAAGAACAGCGACAGTAATATGCTCCACGACCAAGAACTTCGGTGTACGTAGCAGGTTCGTCAGATTTGTTGGCTGCTTGGGAAGAGACATGAGAATTTGAGACCGCATAGAAGACTTCCTTGTAAGATTTGTTGAAGATTACAGTGACGAAGAGGAAAATGAAAAAGCATCAAGATAATTTGCCGCGTCAGGGCTGGTCGTGTGCATCACCATCTGTGTGACTTTGTTGGCACGAAGAACAAAGTGCTGAAGCGCTGATGCTCAGCCGGTTATGTCGAAGTCAGTAGTTGCCCAGTCGGTCGTGAGTCGGTGTTGTAAACACCAGATCCCTTGTCACGAATGAATTGATGTGAGATGCACACAGCATAGAAATCGGTCTCAGTCCTGCCTCAGTGTGGTCAGCATTGCTCTCTTTCTCCAGCCGCGGCACATCGTATTGCATCACCCTCGCCCGAGAAAAGCAATTTTTCATTCTGTTTGTGTTTCAATGATGAGCGAAATTTAATCGCGATTAAGAAACGTTTCCTCGGTCATTGAAGATTTCGTCGGTAGTAATAGATACTCATCTGTGTAGAAGAGACAGATCGAGCCGAGAGAGTCACTCACCATCGTGAGAAGATGAAATAAAGAGCAGCTTTTCGGCATTTATTCGCATCTTCCCGATTATTTTCCTCGCATTGATGCTGTCGCGATCGTGCTGTCAAGCTTTTCATACGTCGTTTTTTTTTTCATCGCAACTTTCGACTTCGTGAAAATCAAAATTCGAAAAACGCACCCCAGGACCATCGAAAGTTTGCAGCTTTTAAGAAGTATCTTGAGGTTGTCCTTGACATTTGTATTGTTTCCCCCATAGTTTTTTAGTTTCCCTACCACTTTTCTTGCCCTATCGTTCGGAGAGAAGTTTATTAGCTTTCTGATCATAGAGCGGGACGAGCTAGTTTATTTCACAAACATTTTGCCCCTAACGTGCTCAAGTCAACATCTACCAGTACTAGTCCTCCTTTCACATCAATTCAGGTAGTGCCTGAAGGTCTAATCATAGTATCTCGACATCACGTCCCATAAAGTTGTACGAAGGTGTCAAGTTTTTAAACAAGTAGTACACAAGAACTTATCGAGTACCCCAGCATCCATAATTCCATATCAACCACCGACCCACAAAACTTACTAGCGTTTTTTTTTTTCTGTGTAAAAATCTTCTCACCTCGTGATTGCTCAAAAATTCCAAAAGTGAACGGAAGTTTCCGTTTTAAGACTTCTGCGAAGGTTTGACAAATCACTACAAGACTAAGAGTTTAAGTACACTTCTCGCCCTTGTAAGATACCGAACTCAAACTTCTTTGAGAAGTAGAGGAACTAGAACTACATTTGGTCGTTGCACATTTCAACATAATTCTGGCACATCAACAAGATCGAGAAAAACCTACCTCGTCAAGCTCGTCAGACCAGATTGACTTTGACGTCGAAAGGGTAAAGCAACAAGCTATTGTACCGTAGTACAACACCACGGTCGCAGCTCTGTCCTCGAAGTTTTTCAAGAAGTTAAAAATCGACTGCGACCGGCAGGACGAGAAGTACCACGACGATCATAACCTCCGCCAGGACATAGATCGAAAAATTGGACAACGAGGACCAGCACGCGTGACGTAGTTGCAGCCACGCAACCTGAAGTGCTGGGAATAAAATAAAGGTAAAATAACCACGAGGACTACAGCACGAAACACACGACTCCGCGAACAAGATGTCTTCTTCCTCTTCTAACAAAGTTACCGCAGGCGGAGCTCCTGTGCCACCCAGTGTCAGTGCAGCCTCCGGAGCCGCGGCCATGCCGTATCAACAACCCTATCCGGCATCTCGCGAACGACCTGCGGAGCAACCGGAACTCGACCGCGAGATTGTTCCCCCGCGGGGGAGAGAGGTCGATGAGAACGTGAACAACGGTGAAAACAAGTCCGAGCACCCGGAAAATAACAAGATGGTGCCCTTCAAGATCGGGCAGCCAACGACGGTTACGCAGGCAGTGCCGAGCACAACCGGAAACAAGATGGAATACGTCTGCGTCTGCAGCTACACAAAAATCGACAATCTGGCGCATCAACCGAAAGGTACTGGTGACTAGTTTGTCATGCTGTGCAGGGTTTGAAGTTGGAACTTGAAGGTAGGAGTCGCTTTCTCATGCTTCTAGTACACCACCACTAGAAATTAAAATTTCATCGTTAAATAAACTCAAGGTACCCCTGCGGACCACACGATGACGGTTTTCGGGTTGTGCCACGAGTCCGGCCGCCTGACGTACCCCATGTAAAAACGTTCCCACCATACAGTTGTCATGCGTATCTCCATGCTTAAACTGTTTCTCATGCGGAGCCCCATGAGAAGTATTGTCCATTTCCAGTTGTGTCTTCCTCTTTCCATTTGTGAAGCTCAAATCCGCATGACAGATTAGATCTGTGATGCTGCTGAGCTAGCTAAGCAGGACAATGGCACGATGAGGCCAAACTTGTCATGCGCAACAACCAAAGCTGGTTGATTTGTCTAGCAGATTCCCCATCTTGAGTATGGGGTGGGGACGTTTTTCCTCAGGATATGACGAAGCTTTTCGTCACGGCGGATATGGACAAGGAGCTGCAAAACACGGCTTTTGTGCGGTCCCACCCGAACAAGAATGTTCTCTACGCAGTGACGGAATCGATATGAACATGGACAACTCCCCCTCCCCCTCATTTGTCATGCAAAATGCCCAATCCAGGCTGTACCTCTTGGCACTGTTTGCATGACAAGGTCTGGCAGCCCAAATAGCACTACAATCCAGTGCAAATTTGTCATGCAAACTCCGCATTTTCGCTGGCGCTTGTATTGCCGTTCATGCTCTACAAATGAGGGGGAGAGCGAGTTGTGCACTGTCATAGTCGATTAACGACAACGGCTGGCTCTTCGCGTTCCGCCTGTGTCCGGTCAGCGGGCAGCTTCGGGAAGTCGGCAAAGTGTCCACACACGGAAGAAGTGCGTGCTTCATCACGGTATAATATATATAGAAAATGTAGATTCTTAATTCTCGATGGTCGTGATGCATGACTGTCATGCATCACGACCATCGAGAATTAAGAATCTGTATACTACTACTACTCGCATGACAAATAAAAGTGTACCAAAAATCACCGAAAAAACAGCTTTCCCGCGACCTGCGTTACCTGTTAGTGATCAACTACTGGGACAGTACCATGGCTTCCATCCCGATCGACGAGGAGGGTTTGTTATGCATTGCAAATGTGTCTAGATGTGGAACATTGACATTGAAACTTGTGATGCGCAGTTTGGATCAGACAAAAATCTGTCATGCATGGAAAGCAAAAGTGGTAGTGGCCTACGCCTATTTCTTATTATCTAAGTCGGGAAATTGAAATTCTCATGCGAGCTAGGCATTGAGAAAGCCCCTCGAAATCAGCGATGCGATTACTGGCATGCCAAAGCTTTTGGGTCATGCAAAACAGCATGACAAAGACAAAGCTCGCACTTTCCCCGATCCACCAGACATGTTTGCGCTTGATATTTGTTTCTGACCAACCAGCTGTCGGTGAAGAAAAACCAGATACCCGGCAACAACGCCTCCAAGGACCGCACGGCGCACGGTAACGACCCGCACAGCAAGCACCGGTTCGCCGAATCCCACGCTCACGCCTGCGTGTTCGACCCGGCGTTTGGCAAGATGGCCTTCGTGCCGGATTTATGCATCGCAAATATGTCTGGGTCTGGAAACTTGTGATGCAACAAAAGTAGGAACTGGTGCGTCTGCGTGCACACTGTAATGCGTTGCCAAGTATGACAAGTTTTTCCAAGGTCCTGAGTTGCGTACCTCGCTGCATGAGAAACTGCGATTTTGTATGACAGATTAGGGGCTCCTCTTGGCGGCCACGCAATACAGAGTTCAGAGTCATGGCAGACTAGCATGACAAATCTCGTCGCAATCTCCCAGACCCAGACATATTTGCAGTTGATACGATTTGGGCGAGGGGGTGATCAAGCAGTTTGTGTTTGACGAGAACAACGGCGCGGCAAAGTACTGCGGGACCATTGATTGCGGCAAGGAAGCCGGCCCACGATACCTGGAGTTCCACCCGAAGTTGGATGTCTGTACTGCGATTTTTTTTTTGTTATAGAAGAGTGCATGACGGGTTGTCTGTGTCTATGTCGTTACTGCATGACAAATAAGTACCCAGTGCTACAACTTTACATTCAAAAAATTATCCCTCAGGCTACGTCGTGAATGAACTCTCCTCCTCCGTGCTGGTTTTCCGGTTTGACGAGCTGCGTGTGCAAGAAGCCTTCGAGAACGCCGTGCTGCAGCCCAACAACACAAATTTCCAGCCCGCGCTGGACAAGGTACAGGAGATCTCCACGCTGCCTGAGGCGTTTCCGAAAAAGCTGAACACCTGTGGACGGATCTGCGTGGACCCGAGCGGCAAGTGGGTGTTGGTCTCGAATCGCGGCCACGATTTATCCTGAGCAAAAACGTCCCCACCCCAGAGTCAACAAGATGGAAAATCTGCTAGACAAATCAACCAGGTTTGGCTTGTTTGGCATGACAAGTTTGATCCTGTAGTGTAACAAATCCTGTTTAGGTAGTTCAGCAGCATCATAGACCTAGCATATCATGCTGGTTATAGCATCACAAATTCCAAATCCAAAACGCGCCACCTAGTGAATTCTTCTCATGGGGCTCCGCATGAGAAACTTTTTTGGCATGCAGGTTGGCATGACAACTCTGGTGAGGTGGGGACGTTTTTACAAATGATACGACTCCATCGCGGTGTACCCCATCAACAAGCAGACGGGGAAACTCTGCAACGCGAAATACCACCACACCGGCGGTTATGCATTGCAAATATGTCTGGGTCTGAAAATTTGTAATGCTGACAGACGTAGCCTGAGAAGGCCACAAATGATGCCTCAGCATGACAAGTTTCTCAGCTTCTAAGTGTTGCCCATTCTGCATGACAAACTGCGTCTCTGCATCACAGAAAAATACTTAGGGCTTTTGAGTAACGTGCATGACAGACTTAAGAGTCTTGCCAGCCTGGCATGACAAACCTTGCGCTTTTCCAGACCCAGACATATTTGCAGTGCATAGCAGCTTCACACCGAGACACTTCAAGTTCTCGACCAACGGAAATTTCCTCTTCTCCGCCAATCAGGACTCGAATTGCGTCTGCGTGTTCGCTATCAAATCTTGCAATAGAAGCATGTCCGGGTTCAGCTGTGGAGGAAAGGATCAGGATGTTGTGCATGCCCTTGATTGGTGTTTGTCATGCGCCGGTGTTTTCTTCATCTTCATCAACATGGAATGTACTAGGAAAACCATGACATCAAGAAAAACGCTTGTTGAACTTGAATAGCATGCCACGCCAGCGTTACAGGTTTTTAGATGTTGCCACGATCTCCTTGTTAATGCCTGTACTGTTGCGTGAGAATGAGAAATACTTAAAAATTTGTGTCCCGTCTTTTGGCACAAGAACTTTGACTTCCGCAAAACAGAACTCCTTGTTATTCGCATCAACTATACCGCAAGAAGTTTGCATTCGTTCCCCAACTACCAGACGACCCGGACTACATCAAGTTTGCAATGCATACCCCCCTTCAACAGCCGTAGCGGGGATCTGACCTACCTCCGCAGCTACGACGTGAAATCGCCAAATTTTATCGAGGTCAAGAAGCCAAGCTCGAGTCGCAAACTGGCAGCCTGGATGTACGCCAGAATGTGACGCCGGCGCGGAGGTGCTGTTTGATAAGTATTCGGTACCAGGGTTCTACCTTCCTGATGGGTAGTTTCTGTCATGTTTACAATTTTTATCACAGAATAGAGAAAACAGGATGATACTGTAGTGCGACGAGAAGGAACAGAAAGTGGAGTTGAAATATAACTGTTAGCATCGATCGTACTTAACCTAGCCTGCCTTGTATAAAAATGTTCAAATTCAATAAACACTTCGTTACGCACGTAGAAGATCGAATAGTACAGAACTCGCCGATTTCATCCTCGTTTCGTTTCGCACACGCAGAGGAAATTTAAAAGCAAGGCTATGTATCATCTCCTATCTTGTTTACCTTTACTTCATCCTAGTAGCCGAGACTTCTGGGCTTCGAAAAGAAAAAAGACGAGGCTGTCAGACGAACAAGTAGATTTTAGTTCTTCTTCTTCTTCTTCTAGCGACAGAGTTTATGACCACTATTTTATCGACATATCTGCTTACAATGCGAAGGAACTTGCATCATGGCAGCATTCTTGTGCTTGCACTGTTGAATTGAAATTCGAATCAAGGTTTCAAACGAAATAATCGAAGTACTAGTACAACAAACGAGTGTGAAATTAAGTGTGATATTTTGTCTTTTTCAGATTCTAAATCCTGTCAGATCTAGATCGCTCGACGACGAAGCCAAGCTAGGAAAATAATACTGGATGCTTTTTCTAGTTTGGTTTCGGAGTTTAGTGTCTTATCTGAAAGAACACCAAGACTCCTTTTCCTTTAAATTGAAGCAAGGTCGCGTAAAGTGCTTGCCTCTTGGGGTAGCCAGTTTTATTGTACAATACTACCCGGTGACCATTTTTATGTTGGAAGATGAAAACATCATCGAGTTCTTGAAGGCTAATGTATTGTCATAAGGGAAGAAAGAGATAGAGAAACCAAACCAAATAAGAAAAATAAAGCTTCGAATCATAATTTTTCCCAATTAAAAAAACAGTAGAAAACCGCTAAGTTAGACTACAACTTAGTTGTTTATTTCGTCTTCATAGCCGCATTGACATTGTGCCTGCGGGCGTGTGCAAGTGCAGAAGCTCTGCTCTCACGAGGAGGGGTTTGAAAACGATACCACGATTGTCGTACTAGGAGGGAGAAGCAAATAAAGCATAGAATAAACCGACGTCGAGATGATCGCGATACGCAGCACCTGAAGATGATACGAAATTCTATGCTCAAGTACCGCCAAGACCTCTTTGCCACTCAACAGCTGCGTACAAACTCTTCTGCACACCTACCTCCATCAAGACTTTAAGTTTCTGGTGAAGGAAACGATGAATCACCAACGGAAAATAAAATTACAGCTTCACTAAAAAACCATACTATAATTGGCAAAGGGTATAGAAATTGACAAGGAAACAAATACAAAAGGATTAAAAGGTCATAGTTTAAAAGACAGCTAGAAAATAAGCAGTACAACCTCCCGTGTGCTTTAGTGTGCTCCGTGTTTGTAAAATCTCAATAGAACAACGTCAACTGGTTCAATAGCCGTGAGGGTGGAGGTCCGCGTCTTTGCATTGTATGAGGGAAGAGGTGCACGTGCAAAAATTCACCAACCGGGTTTCCGGGATGAGACACGCCCCGCGGTTATTGACTATTTGATTTTCTCATCTGCACGTAAGAGAAGACTTTCACTGATAGGTTATTTTTAGCAAAATACATCAACATCGAAAATCGGGAACACGAAGCTGCCGTGTGAATCGCTGGCCCGCCCGAGATAGAAGATGACAATTGGTGGAGCTCAGTAGTTGAGTTTCTCTCGAATAAGATTTTGATTTACGAGTACCTTTGGCGATTCTTGCTTGCCGCCAGTTTTACATTCTGCTGCTTGGTCAGCGGTGAGGCGACTGACTATGATGTTCAACACCCGTTATTTGCGAGGTTTATTTGTTTGGGCAGTTGTCGTCGTGTCTGTGCACCACTCCGCCCTAAGATAGTCCCATGATCGGTCAATTAGCTTGTCCGTCACTCCGTCCGAATTCCTATTCGGTGGGAAGAACTACATGTCAAGAAAACGGGTGACAAGTAGGGGCGTCGCTTATCAATTGAGGAGTAGTTGTACTTGCACAGTCTCGATTTATTTCACGGGATCGTCGCGCGTCGTGGTCGTGTATCGAAAAAACAAAATCAAAATCGTCTTCGTCCTGTTCTTCGGCACAAGGTCTTCTACCTTAATCGCGTTGAGTACGTACTACTATCAGTATCTTCACTGAGTATACGGGGAATTCACATTCATCATGAGGTTAATCTCCTGCTTGAGGTTGAGCAGTAGTAAGCGTACAACGTATTTGGATCTCGAGCCGCCCTGGAGGGGGCACAACGGTGCGAAACATTCCTCATAACGTGAGAAGAACAGCGCGCAAGGAAGCCAAGAATAAACTGAAATGCACTACTATTGTGACAACATGCGCTATCTAAAACCGTTGAACTAAACAGCAAGAGAAACTACACTAGTGTGAAGAAGCATTGAGGACACCAGCAGCAGGATAATTTCTTGGCTTGTAGAGTCAAGAACCTGAACCACTTCGCTGAAGCAAAAATACTAGACATAGTACGATCAAAGCCACGAAACAAAACATGTTGCGTAGAAGTGTGCACGCCCAGAAGTTGCTCCTTCTCCAGGGAGGGACGGCTAATTACATCCTGTCGTTCGAGTCGCAGCTGATGACCGCCAGAGCGGTCGACGTGGCGGAGATCGTGGAGAAGCCAGTTACAACAACTTCGGAGATTCAGTTTGACGCGGAGTTTACCGACGCGGTCGTCGACGGAGAGCAGGACGAGGACCACCACGAAAAAAACACGATGGCAGCGGTATGGCCTGCTCAAACGTTACAATCTCAAACGTTACAACAATAGAATCTGGAATTTGTATTGCATGAGGAGCATGAGGAACGCAGAGAGAATTGAGCTTTTCGCAATACAAATTTTGCCAGATTTCAGGTGGGTTTGGGACTCCGAAACCTGTCAAGCGCAATCCTATGGGAGTAGGCTAGATCATGCAGTTCTTGCATCACAGATTTCCAGATTCTATTGTAACGTTTGAGATTGTAAAAACGTCTGAGCGGGTCATAAGCGGCGAGCGCCGTCCTCGATTTGAATCAACCGGAGGAGAAGGAAGCTGCGTGGGATGTGACCTATCGGGAGTTCAACAGCGGCACTACTCGCACCTTGACCGAGGATGAGCGCCTTGCATTCTTCGCGCCCCCGTCGGAGGATGACAAGGAGCCGGGCGTGCGTGTATCATCTTCCTCTTCGGGGAGCGGGGACTTTGCCAGAATTTCCAACGCCACGATGGAGTGCGCGGACAAGGAGGCGCAGGCCAAGTGGTGCGCGTGCAAGACCAAGACGTCGAACTTTGATGACCACGGCTCCGGAGAATGCTTGCTGGACCCGAATGTAGTTCCGATCGTCGACCTACAGCTCTTGCATGGAACGCCGGGGCGCTGCTGGGGACCGACAAACTGCGTGACAAACTGCTGGGGATTCTGCATGACAAACTGCGCTTCTGCATCACAGAAAAACGCAGATCTTGGGTAACGTGCATGACAGATTTAAGAGTCATGCCAGACAAGCATGACAAACATGAATTCTTCCAGACGGGACACATCACGGTCAACGCCGAGAAAACCGGAATGATCCGCAGCAGTCTTACCTGCAACTACGACGGCCTATCAAATGTAAAAATGTCTGGGTCTGGAAGAGTGTGAACTTGTCATGCAGGTTTTCCATGTCCCTTGAGGTCTGGAATGCGGGACCTAGCATGACAGAGTCTGTGAGCAGGTCTCTATCGTGCCTATCCTGCATGAGAAACTCCCTCCCAACTTGGTCGAAAGTGGACAGCTTTTGGCACTCATGCAACACAGACTTTTGCATGATTCGGATTTAGCATGACAAGTTGCAATCTTCCAGACCCAGACATTTTTACAGTTGATACGAGCCTCCGGCGTCATCCAACGCCGAGAAAACCGGAGTCCGCAGCAGCCTTACCTGCAAGTACGACGGCCTATCAAATGTAAAAATGTCTGGGTCTGGAAGAGTGTGAACTTGTCATGCAGGTTTTCCATGTCCCTTGAGGTCTGGAATGCGGGACCTAGCATGACAGAGTCTGTGAGCAGGTCTCTCTCGTGCCTATCCTGCATGAGAAACTCCCTCCCAACTTGGTCGAAAGTGGACAGCTTTTGGCACTCATGCAACACAGACTTTTGCATGATTCGGATTTAGCATGACAAGTTGCAATCTTCCAGACCCAGACATTTTTACAGTTGATACGGCCCCATGGATTACAAGTGCGAGCCTCCGGCTATGGGGTTCTCAGACGTTACATTCTCAACTGTTACATGATAGATTTGTCATGCAAAATGAGCATGACCCGCCAGACGAGCAAGCTGCTTCGCATGCCAAATTCTCCGAAGGGCTAAATAGCACTGTAGTCCGCGCCAAGCCTGTAATGCAAGACGCGCAAGATTCTCCCTCTTATCTGTGCTAGTCTTGCATTACAAATTCATGTAACAGTTGAGAATGTAACGTTTGAGAACGCCATACCGGCGTCATCCTCCACCCAGTCCCAGTCGAGTTCTTCTTCCAGCTATCAAATGTAAAAGTGTCTGGGTCTGGGAACTTGTGATGCTGGGTAGCCTCTCATGATGAGGCTACAAATGCTGGCTCAGCATGACAAGTTTTTGAGCTCCTAGGTGTTGCCTATTCTGCATGACAAACTGCGCTTCTGCATCACAGAAAAACGCAGATCTTGGGTAACGTGCATGACAGATTTAAGAGTCATGCCAGACAAGCATGACAAACATGAATTCTTCCAGACCCAGACATTTTTACAGTTGATACCAGCCCCTGCAGCTGCCAGGACGGCGCTTGCGTGCTGTCATCGACGGACGCGGGGGGCGTGTGCTACACGAGCTTCGACAAAGTATCAAAACTGAAAACGTCTGGGTCTGGAAGATCGCAAAAAATTGTCATGCGCTTCGCCTTTGCACCTGGAAGAAAGTCGTGTGGAATTCTGCAGACGCGCACAGTTGTAGAGCATGACAAGGTCTGCAGAGGCTTCTCTACTTGCGTTATTTGCATGAGAAGCAGAAATAATGCCCGTTTCGACAGACAACTTCTTCTGAAAAGCGCTCTGCTACTAAATACAGATTTTTCTTCATCTTGTTCACTCGTCGAGACTCAGACTCACACACAAGTTTGTATCCCGCCTCTAGGTCCAGACAATTTTGCAATGCATCAAGATCGTGTGGCTACAAAAGCGCGTTCACAATGTGGACGATGCGGACGGGGATCGACAGGTGGATACGGTGAAGAAGTATGACGGAAGGCGACAGAATATGATTCCTGGGGTTGTAAAACTAATTGTCAACACGCTAAAGAAAAAAAGTGGAGTCATCAAACAAACTGTCGCCCAGAGGTGCTCGCGCGTTGTGGTGGTCATGCCATTCGTGCTTGTAGCGAAAGCCTATGATGAACCAAAATGATTCTTTTCTGCCACAGGTCGGCAGTGAGGCAGATTGTGAGCCTATTTAGGGTTTGGGCTAGAGCTACTAAAGGAGCATGACAGAAGCAGTCTTCTGTGCCCAAACAGCATGACAAATTGGATTCCGGGGCTCCGGAAATTTGTCATGCGCCGCTTGGAAATTGGGCTTCCAACTGGTATCCGCTTTGTGCATGACAAATCATTTCAACTTTGTCGATTTCAACTCTGACACATCCATATGAGGCGGGGATCTTACGGCGCCGGAGTTCCTTCAATTGGCGGCGAAGCGTTTCCTTCAGCGACATCCTCGAAGAAGAAGTCTCGAGCAGCAACCTATCAAAAGGAAAAATCCCCCCTCCCCATATCGAAAACGAAATTTGTGATGCTGTATTTGAGTACACAAATCAGATCTGTCTTGCAGAAAGTGCTTGGCGGAATTTTCTAAGCCTGTTTGAATGTGCAGAAGGCTAGCAATAAGGCATGACAAACAGGTTTACAGTAGTCAAAAGCGCATGACAGACTGGAGGCTGTGGAATGCGCCACATTGCTCCCATTACCCTACAGGCAAGACAGAGGGTATTTGTGACCACAAATCAGCATCACAAATTTCCTTTTCGATATGGGGAGGGGGGATTTTTCCTTTTGATACAACCCTGTCAGCTCTTTGCCGGCCGCACAAACGGTGGTCGGGGGCGGTGATAGAACGCACGCGAGTAGTACTCTTTGGAGGGCGGAGACCTCGAGTAGTAGAGGTGGACCAACTACAGGTCACGACGCTTTACTTGGTGGCTTTGAGATGCAAGACATGACAAGCCCGCCGTCGGGTACTCGGAGTAGTTCAAGAACTTCTCCTCGCGGAGCTATCCCCTTGAATTGCACACGCCCACGCCCGAGCGTCGCTGCAAGTGCATCGAAGTAGCAAAAAACGTTAAACCGAACGAACGAATTTTTATGACACTGCGCAAGCCTCTCCTTTTCTCAAATAAGGTCTGTCATGGAATGAAACGCCCAAAGCAGGAGCACTTGCTTCCTTGCACTACTTATGCTTTTCCTCACAAGCTGGGGCTCCGGCCCAGATAGCATTAGCCAGAGGGCATGCAAGTTCGATGATGACGAAATCTATGTTCTGCAATGCAAATGAAGCTTCATCTAAGTACACTTGGTTTTGCTTCTGCCACTCTCAGTTGCTGCTGCTTTTGTTTTGTTTCGTAACATTCCAACGAGGCACATCAGGAGAGGAAGCTATAGAATACCATACTGCATGACTACGAGTGCAAAGTACATGAAAATGAAGAAGCGACTGCGACAAAGTGCTCCATCGCCCGAGCAGACGAGAAACAGGAAGGCCAGAAGTTCTGGTACCACGTCACTTGCACTGGCCCCGACGAGTACACTCCACCTGACCCCTCCAAGTAGAATTGGAGGCGATCGAATCGGAGAAGCGAATCAAACCGACAAGCGACAACAAGATGACGCGCAACTAAAAATCGCAACGCAAATAAACATGTGTCATTTTTCAGAGATGCTCGCGCGTTCCGTTGGGGTGGTCATGCCATTCATCGTGCTTGTAGCGAAAGCCTCTGGTGAACCAAAATGATTCTTTTCTGCTGACGAAAAAAACATGTTGTGCTTCTCGAACTTCTACTCCTTCGGGGTGAAAGTCATTCTCTTCCTCCAGTTCCTCTTCTTCGTCATCACGGCGGGTTATCCAGTGTAAATATGTCACGATCATACAACACGAAAGCAGGATGAAGGTGTGCATGATGTCGATGTGTGGATTTTTTGAGAGCCACAGTCGTCAGCATCTATAATTAGCAGAGGATCGATGAAGATGAACAAGAGCTGCATAGTACAGGAAATATGCATGCCAGATCTGCAGTAGGTACTACTGTCGTAGTATGACCATGACAAATTTGCATTGCATACCTGGTTGGACCCGGAGCAGAAGTCGTCCTCGTCCGAAATTCCGTTTTATCAAGGCGAAAAACACGTTCAAGAACTCACCACCAGTTACTCAAACAAGAATAAGATAAAGGGCGCTCAAGTTCTTTGATTGATTCTTTCGCGTCGTCGTTGTGCAGTGCTTTGATGTGTTTCGGCGCATCGAGAAATTCCCTGTAGTCAGAACGGGGAGGACAGCCACAAACTCGGACTCTATTATGCTGCTGCACAACTCTCTCTTTTCTATGCTTTCAACATTTGATGTCAGACGAAACGCCCGGAGTACGCCATACTTCCTGGCAAGGATTTGCATGACCGCGACAAGTTGTGGCTACTACTCCAACTGAGATATCAATAGGGTTACAGTACATGCAGCATGGCTTCTATGAAATATGACTTCATGATACAAAAAAAATGGCTTCTATATTCTTGTCATTCTTACTCCGAAAGCGGGGGTCCTAGGGTCCGGGTTGCCGAACCCGTGCAGAATTTGCGGGGAACTTGGCTGCGGATTTTTCTCGTCTAGAATATTAAAGCCCGCCCGCGGCCTTTTGCAAATGATCACAATCATGCAGCGCGCCGCGATAGGGAGGCGGGCTTTCGCATGGAGACTCCCGCCGACGCCTGCGATTGCTAGGCAAAGATGATACCACAGCCTCGCAAAGATGATACCACAGCACCATCGTGTAACGTGCGTTACACGGTGGCCCGCTGTTATTTGCTTCTCTTGGCGTTGCCCGGCCTTTCCAAGGTAGAAAGGCCTGCTTTTGGCGTGTCCATGGCACCGTCGTGAGTAAGGTTAGCCACGATGGAGATGCGCTTGCTTGTTTTCGCAGCTTCGGGCGCAGGGCCATACGCCCGGGACAGGCGGCCGGAGAGAGTGGCTGACGACTCCACATGCATGCCGGAGCCCCACCAGGATAGGGTAGCTTCCAGCTGCGCGGCCCGGTTTCTTTCGGGGCTTGTGCATGGGTTGCCACGGTTGTAGCCTGGGGCCCTAATATCCAAGAGAACCGGCCACGGCTCTCAAGCTCCGGAACTTGGCTCAGAACTTGTTCCAGAACTTTTTCCAGAACATGTCCCAGAACTTGTCTCGGAAAGATCGAGGACGCAGCTTGATCTTTCCTCAAGGTGAGACGCCCGCCAGCTAGACCCGAGTGAGAGGGGCAAGGCGCCGCTGGCTCGCCTGCCAGGCTGCGGCTACTTTCTTGGTTAGCGAGCAGCGCCCCTCCTCGCCTTCGTGCCCTATTAATAGCGGAGGCGCGCCATTCTGCCTGCCCTTGCTTCAAGCAGCTTCTGTTTTGTTTGTCATGTTGACGCCCCCCGCGGAGAGGACTTCTTTTTCTTGTAGTTTGGGTTAGCTCTGTCCATTTGGTATGCCGCTACTGGCCTGCCGATCGGTGCGTGGGTGCTCTTTTTCTTTCAGAGCTGTGGTCGGGCCTTTACTTGGTCCCCCGCAACTTCTTTGGGGATTCGACGCGAGGAGGCTTCCTCCGGAGCTTTCTCCGGAACTTGCTCAGAACTTGGTAAGGACTTGCCCAAAACTTGTCTCGGAAGTTGCCCAGACTTTTTTTTTTTGGCGTTTTTGGCGCGTTTTCTTTTCTCGTTTCACGGTGGGGCAGCCAATTTTCCGCTTTCTCTTTTGTGGCTCACGAAAAAAGTTTGGGCAAGTTCCAAACAAGTTCTGGGACAAGTTCTCAGACAAGGGCTCAGACAAAGTCTCAGGCATGTTCCGGGAAGGTTCCGAAATGAGTCCCGGGGCAAGTTTCCGAGCAATGAGCCTCCAGGGGAGGTAGGTTGGCCCGGAACAAGGCCCGGGGCAGGCTCCTGCGCAGGCGTCCCGCGAGCAAGGTGCCCCTCGGGGGGTATTTGTGGAAATAGCTAGCCCCGCCGAGGGGGCCACGAGGGTGGTCCGGGCCCTGTCTTTGTCGGCGAGGGTGCTTCGCATCGTCGAACCGAAGTGCCGGCCTTCGGCACCGCCAGCCGCCGACGTGCGTTTTGATGGGAGCGTCGCTGTGGTTTGATCCGGTTCGGGGGCCTCGCAACCCTAAAGCGGCCAGAGGGCCACCCCGGGGGTTTTTGGGTTTCTGAAGGAGGGCAGGCTGCGGGGTGTCACGGCATCGGTGGTCGCCTGGGTGTTGGCTCGGCGCAGCCTGCCAAGCCTGCCCCCCTCTCGGCGCCCGGCGTGGATGGGCCGGCCCCCGTCGTCGGGCCGGCGGTCCCGCCGAGGATTATTTTGTTGTCATCGCACGCGCCCCCGAAACGCTTTGTTTTATCGCATTCCAGCAAACGAAGCCGCGTGCCATCGTGTAACGCGCGTTACACGATGGCGCTCTCCCTTCATCGTGTCTCCTGCTGCGCTGGTGTGGCATGTTCCCGGCCGTAGACGCGCTGTCTCGCCACAGGGCGACACTCGCTCTCGCGCTCCCCCTCCGGTGCAACACCTCAAAGAAAGGCCTCCCTTCTTGTCGTGCCCACAGCCGCGAGCACGGACGGGCGCTCGGCTGTGGGGAAGCATGCTGCATCGTGCTCATCTTCGGTTGATGTGCAAGCGTGTTGACGTAGCGCTTGGCCGTCGCTTAGGTGGTTCGTCTTGGTGGGTTGCTGTCTCGCACCAACGTGCAGCCGGCATCCACTTGAGCAGTATAGACCGGCGGGAGGTTGGGCCCTCGTTGCCTGGAACCCCGGTGCCCTCTTGTGTTGCCCCAACCGGAAACCGGCCCGACAAGTTCTGCGCAAGTTCTGGGCAAGTTCGGCACCCCATACATCTAGACCCATGCTTTCGGAGTAATGTCATTCTCATTTTTATTATTTTTTTCCTTCCAGAGGCAACGGCTTTTTGTGTTTCTTTTTCGCCTGTTAGTTCTGCCACTGTGCCTGTTGCTGGTGCTCCTATCCCTCAAATCAATGACACGAAAACCGAGGGAGTTGTAATACACCATATCACACGAGCCGTGGGAATGGGGGTGCGGACCGTGGCCTAGTTCTTGCCAACGGGACGTTCTCGAGGAAGATCAAGATCCACATGGGTCCACAATCGTGTGCGGCTACGCGTGAGTGGATTAGCATTCGCTTTGGTGAGAAGTTAAGCGACAGAATAATATGAATGACGTAAAACTAATTGTCAGAATACAATTAAAACTGGAATACGGGCTATCAAACTGTCGCTCGGAGGTGCTCGTGCGTTGATTGTGGTAGTCATGCCAGTCGTTTCTATAGATTTATTTTTTCTAGTTTCTCTTTTTGTAGCTTACTTTGCTAAGCCTTTTATGTTGTATTTCTCCTGTAGCGAAACCGAAAGCCTCTGGTGAACCAAAATGATTCTTTTCTCAGTTTGTTGATTTCTTTTTTTGGTGGATGCTGTTGAAAACAACCAGCAAATAGACACAAGTACTTCATCTTCATTTCCAATTGGTGGTGCTGCTCCTTCTGCGAGTAGCATGGATGTTTGTCCGTCTTTTGGAGGACGAGCTTGTGGGTCGACGAGCAGTAGTGCCGCCGGAGGACGACCAGCAGGAGGGCCTGCTCCCAGTAGTAGTGCATCAAGCTCAACAGGTTCCTGTCCGCAGCAGGCGCCAGAGCTGCTGCCAAGTTGCGCCGGCCCCGATATTACAACTGCGCAATTCACTACGACAAGCATGAAAACCACGACGACGAAGAAGAAGTTTGTTCCGCGGTCCAAAAACAAGCACTTCCGGGAGGAGCAAGAGCGGCAATTGAAAGAAGAACAGGAGAAGCAGGCACGGGAACAAGAGCTACAGCGTTTGAAGGATCTAGAGGGAGAGGAGAAAAAACGGCAGGAGCGGAAACAAAAGCGAAGGGAATTGAAACGACAGCGAAGGGAAGATGAGAAACGGGAAATGAAGGAGCGGTTACTAGCGGAGCAGCAGCAGCGGGAACTTCAGGAAGCGTTGTTGCGAGATGCGGAAGAGCAGCAGCGGCAGAGGGAGGAACAGGAACGACGTGAGGCGGAGGAGAAGCAGCAGCAGCTTCTACTGCAGAAACAAAAATGTGAAATGAATCAAACCAGCAAGTCCGAAAAAAGTAAAAAAGAGCTGAAGAAGAAAATAAAAGAGAAACAACGACAAGATGAAGAACAACTCCGTCGTACAGGTCCGACCTACGTTGAACTGGTGGAGATTCTCGATCCAGCCTCTTACGAGAAGGCCGAGGTGGGGAACGAACAAATCGTCGGCAAGACGAACAATTACAGCAAGGACACGCGGCGACAAACCCGGGCAGTGGTGTACTGGGGCAGGAGCAGATGAGCCAGCACGAACTAACAGAGCACGAACACCAGCGGCAGACAGAACCCCACGAAAATAGCCTCAACTTCACTCCGAAAAATCATTCTCCAATACGCCCAAGAGATGAACCTCCTCCCCGACGGCGCAACAAAGACGTAAAAAGCGACCCAAAGCGTCCGATCTCTCCGCCGGGAAACTGCAACAACCAAGCAAAAAACCTAAAATTACAGGGTCTCGATCCCCCGCCATTTTTCCCATCCGACTCCAAACCGATTAACAGGCGGAAATTCACGCTCCCCTATGACTACGATTCGCGAAAACCGAGGGTTTTTCTTGAAAGACACATAGTTCCGTTTCACATGCCGGTGCATTGGAATGAGGATTTAGAGGATTACTACGAGACCTTCACCGGGAAACCGGTCGTTCCTTGTTACGAGAAATTTTGCGACGCAGCGGCGAATCTGGGGATAAAGGTGAATCAGTTGTTGAAGCACCGTATGCATTGCAAAAGTATCGTACTAGTATAAATCGCATGACAAATTTTTTCAAGAAGAAAGTTGGAACTTGTAATGCAGATTCAGGTAGGAAACTAACCAGATTTGTCATGCATGCCTGCAATTGGTTCATACGAGTGCGATGCTTTTGCAGTGGATACACCGCGCGAAGGAAGTCGGGAGATGTTGCAAACTGTTCAACCTGTTAGACGAAAGAGCAGGTACTTGGTTGCGCAAGATTCATCACCAGATTTTTTCAGGTCAGCCACGAGCTCGTGAGGGATGATAAAAATTGGAGGATTGATGTCATGCAACACTGCTGGACGATAATGAAATTTTTATTTTTCCTGCTACGAAAAATGACCCCTTTGCCTTTCAACTACAGATACTCCGACAGAGGACTGTTGTGGACAAGGAGTTGTGAGTCGCTTGTAGCGAAAGCCTCTGGTGAACCAAAATGATTCTTTTCTGCTGACGAAAAAAACATGTTGTGCTTCTCGAACTTCTACTCCTTCGGGGTGAAAGTCATGGAACAAGCTACGTTCGAGGGGGGAACAAGCTAAGTTCCTTCTTTCTGTAACGGAACAAGCTACGTTCGAGGGGGGCTGGAGATGTAAAGGGGATTGCTGGTTACCCTTAAATAGGTAAGCTCCGTCGCGACTCCAGCTTATGACCCCCGTCCCCCCTCCCACCCTTTGCTTCTGTTGCAGAATAAGTCAAGGAGTTGCACTCTGACCGCCACGCACAAACTAAACCTTTAAGTTGTCGCTGTGCCCCAGGTGGGTTGCCAGTCAGCAGTGACAAACAACTGGCCAATGGTTTGACATCTCCGGTCCGCGGCACTTGCCTTTTTCGTCCGTGCCGCAGGTAAGGCACAAATGGTCCAGCCTCCCCTGTCCGGGTGGGGTTGCGGCTTAAGGGAGAGCCTCGCCCCTTAGCCCAAAGGGGTACGTCGTCTCTTCCGTGAGAACAAAAATGTATGGCGTAAAATGGGTCGGGTCCTGGATCGTTCTGTATGTTGGGCTGTCGCGCTCGGCTAGCTGGCCGGGCTGTACTGATCGGGTGTGGTGGGTAGCTCCCGACTGGTTGGTACTTTTATTGGGGCGACTTGCCGTGGTAGCGCTCGGCTTTTGTATGTTGAGGTCGCCGAAAGTGCTTCCTCGCCCACCCCCCGGGGAGGGGATCCTTGACCTGTGGCGCTGGGTGCGGGTGTCCACTACATGATGATGATGATGGCACTGTTTGCGTGACAAGGTCTGGCAGCCCAAATAGCACTACAATCCAGTGCAAATTTGTCATGCAAAATCCGCATTTTCGCTGGCGCTTGTATTGCCGTTCATGCACTGACTACAAATTAGGGGGAGAGGGAGTCGTGCACTGTCATAGTCGATTAACGACAACGGCTGGCTCTTCGCGTTCCGCCTGTGTCCGGTCAGCGGGCAGCTCCTATCAAAAGCAAATGTGTCTGGGTCTGGAAGGATGCAACTTGTGATGCTGACTTTGGATTCTACAAAAATTTGTATTGCATGAACAGCAAAACCAAAAGCGGCCCAGTTTTGGTCACGGCAAGAGGGCATTTATCATGCGGTATAGGCATCAGGAAGCCCTCACAAAATCTGTGATGCTAGGCCATGCATTACAGACATCAGAACATCAGTCATCAGAGGCCATGTCACATTCTCCTGTAGCGAAACCGAAAGCCTCTGGTGAACCAAAATGATTCTTTTCTGTAACGGACAGCGATTCGTAGGTACGTTCTACGAGAAGCGAAACGCTTCGGAAAAGATAAACTAACTTGCACAGTCGAGGAAGAAGTGCAAAACCGCCCTGGTGTTGATGGTTTTTCCTTTATCACTACTGCAACTGATGTTCTCTGCTTGACAAGAATCAATCAGATCACGTGTCGAAATGATCGCAATCGGTGTGATAATTTCATGTTGCTTCTGCTTGAAAAATATCATGTTTATGCACATCAAAACTGTAAACACGAAAGAGTTGTTGCGCAACTCCACCTGGTCCGTACTTGCCTTGTTTCATTTCGATCGTCTATACTACTTCTACCGAGCGAACAAGCGGTGTCTGTTGTCACTTCGTCTTCCTACACCTATTCTGGTCACGGTAATCTTTCCTCGTCTTGGTCAAGACTATCTTCAGTATCACTGTCGATTTCGATATCATGGCCAGGGAGGTCTCTTTGATCCTATGAAGATCCGCTTTTTGTCTAAATTCAAACTCTTTTTTTCTTAGCCTTCACGCAAGACGAAAAGTGCGATGACGGAGATCGGGCTCGCACGCGGAGGCAGTGGTATCAGAAAGAGGTGTGCAGTTGGTTCGAACAAAGAAGTCCACTACGTGGGACGACTTTCTTGGGGTGTGCATTTCGTAAAGCTTGTATATCGTGATGCTAATAAAATACGGTGTCATCGCGGTGCTCCTCGTGAAGTGCTCTGATTACAGTTCCCCGGGTTGCAACTTCGGTGTAAGTTGTCGATGTCGTATCAACATTGTCGTGAATGGTTCTGGATGGAGACCACAACATCAACATTTATATCGTACAATTACAACTGCAACATTTGTCGGTCAGTAAGACACGGCATAAGGATCACAGGAGCTCGAAGTTACACGACCTAACTACCAGATGAAGAGAACACGACTCCAGCCTTGTTTGCTATTTGTAAAAAACTCGTCGTCGTTAAGTTGGAATCGTTTTGCCTAGATGATTTTATTCATGAAAAAAAAGCATCAAAGGCTTGCTTGACTGTTTTTTCCGGATAAAAGATAACAAGCTCGAAAGACGACATCGATTTCCGGAATGATTTTTGGACTGCGGCCGGAGGTTCTGCGTTTTTGAGGTTCGACACTGTAGTTGCAGCAGGTGCAGCAAATCCGTCGAAACTGCATCATGGTTTAGCTATCATAGAAAAATTGACTGATATTATCATGTCGACTTCCAAGAAAGCTGCGTCTGCCGGCGCGAGTCCGAAACAGCAAAGTCCGAAGCAAAAGGCGAAGGCAAAACCTCCGACGTCTACTGTTCCTGCAAGCAAGGTCCAGAAGACCGGCTACACTTCTTCCAGCAGTGACGATGCAGAAGAAGTGTCTCGCACAACTCCGCCTGCTCCTACTGCTTTCTCAGCAGGAGCGTCGTCCCCGTCTGGAGGTGCGGGTGAGGTCGCACAGCAGGCGGCCTCTGGTGCCAAATCATCTGGAGCCGCCACTGCTTTTCCAGGACAACATAAACCACGCACAGGCTATACTTCTTCCTCGAGCGAAGATGTCGAAACTGCTCCAGTTCTTGTGAACAAAAAAGCTGCCTCGACGACGTCCCCTCCCACAACATCTGGCGCTACTGCTGCTAAGGCGAAGGTGGCAACAACGGCAGATGTTGCCAAGGCGGAGGCCTTGTTTCAAGTTAATTCTAGTACTGCGTCGCAACAAGGGCAGGCACCAGAAATTAGGAAGCGAACCGGGTACACGTCGTCTTCTAGTGAGGAAGTCACCGGCCCTGCAACGGCGAAGGCGAAGCCTAGTGCAGGAGCTGCGGTTGGTAGGTCTGCTGCGCAAGTTGCTTCTTCTCCAACTACCGCGACTTCAACAGTAAAATCACCAGGCGGGCCGCCAGGCCGAACGGGGTATACATCTTCCAGCAGCGATGAGCAGGTGGGGCGTGGCCTTTTTAAGTCTGCCGAACTCAAGTTAAGTGATGGAAATAAAGTTTCAGCCTGACAGTGAAGAGCGCTTTGCATGGAAAATGGGAATATTATGTTTTGATGTAGATGCAATTGCAAAATTCAGCAGGGAACGACATCGGCGCACTACTGGCCCTACCCGTGTACTAACTATTCTGGAACTGAGGAGTGCAAAAAGTAGTACGAAAGAAATTGATATCGAGACTGATGTTGATATACTTCTTGTGCAAGGCTGAAAATTTTCTCGAGGATACTTCTCCGTCCCAAGTACTACTGATAGAGAACCACCACCAATAAAAGCGGGTTCGTCATCAACCGGCAAAGTAGCTGGAGATACTACAACCGCTACCGCCGCGACCAAGAGAACGGGCTACACCTCCTCGTCTAGCGATGTTGACATCGATACAATCTCCCCGGCGAGCAAAAAAGCTTCTCCGGCGAAGGCAAAACCAAAAGAGTTATCGCCGTCATCGCCACACCTGCCAGGGGGACAAAGTGGAACACAAAGGGAGATAATGTTGAAAACGGGCTACACGTCTTCCAGTAGTGACGACGTGCGCATGTCATTTTCAGGGACGAGGGCTGGTACACAGCTGCCAAAGGGAACTACCAAGGCCAAAACGAAAGCAAAAGCAGCGACTGGTGCCACGGAAGACGAAGAAGGTGTTGTTGCTAGTACTATGCTGGAGCAAGGACAGCAGCGGCCGAAGCAAGCTGCAAAAAATCCCGAAAAATCTCCACCGCCTGCGTCGTCAAGAAAGAATCAGCGTACGGGCTACACTTCGTCATCCAGCGATGATCTCGGGCTGGATGCAGTCGCAGGAGCGAAAGCCGCGATTAGTGCGTCCACGCCGAAGCAAGGTGGAGCTGGAGGAAAAGCTTCGCCTTCAACAGTCCCGCCAGCGGCTGCTGGACAAGGAAAGAAGACCGGATATACGTCTTCAAGCAGTGGAGAGGACCACGTAGGTGCTGTAAGTGCACCAGCGAGTCCTTTGGCCAAGAAAACTGCAACAGGAGGTGAAGCACCAGCAGCCGCTACCGGTGCTGCGACGTCTAGTACTCTCGGTGAGGCCATTAAACTACAAGCCAAAGCGACGAGCATTCTGCCTACATCAGGAGCAGTTGCGAAACAAGTCAAAACTGGCTACACTTCCTCCTCCAGTGACGACCTTGGGTTTACGCCGGCTTCGAGAACGCAACCGGCGACATCTGGCAAGGCGAAAGCGGGAACGAGTGCAAAAACCGCAATGCCGACGGAAGCGGCAACTGCAAGCGCGACTACAACGAAAGCTGGCGCTGGTGCCGCTGTCGCGGTAAAACCTAAACCTTCTACCGGCTACACCTCTTCCTCTTCTGATGACGTTGGGCTAGATGTAGCAGTGACCAGCACGCCTCCAAAAGGAAAAGCGAAAGCGAAAGCCAAATCCTCAACCGGCTACACCTCTTCGTCTTCTGATGACGTCGGGCTGGATGTTGTACAGGCAGCTAGTACTACCGCGCCGACAATAACAGCGAAGGCTACAACACCCTCTAAAGCGAAATCCACCGGCTACACCTCTTCCTCCGATGACATTGGGCTGGATCATGTGCAGGTTACCACGCCTACTTCTAAGGCGAAAGCGAAGACAAAAACGGGCTACACGTCCTCCTCCAGTGACGACGTGGGCTTGTCTCTGGCGCCCTCCATGATGGCAAAGCGAATGGCCGCGCAGCCGGTAGAAGTTCCTGCGGAGGAGAAGGCAAAACAGCCAGGAGCTGCAGGTTTTAAACCCAAGCAGCCGCCCTTGAAAACGAGGTACACTTCTTCGTCCAGCGATGAGCAGGTTTTATCCGGCGCCACTGCTGCAGTTCTTGCCAAGGCCAAACCACCAACAGGAAAAGCCATCACTTTCAGAGATGAAAACATAGCCTCTTTCGCCCCAGTCGTGACGGAGACAGGACAGGCACAGGCAGGTCTTGGCGCTGGCGCCAAGGGGGAACAAATTGCGACAAGTACTAAAGCTGCAAAAGGGGATCATGGCGAGGATGATTATTCCGACGAGTCAACATATGGATGTGTCAGAGTTGAAATCGACAAAGTTGAAATAATTTGTGATGCATAAAACGGATGCCAGTTGGTGCTTAGTTTTCAAGTGGCGCATGACAAATTTGGGTAGAGCCGAAATCCAGTCTGTAATGCTGTTTGGCTAAGGAAGACGCCTTTTGTCATGCTATTTTAGCAGCTCTATTTAGACCGCCCCTCAACAGGCTTGCAATCTGCCTCCCTTGCCTACTCTGCATGACAAGCATTTTGTGGGTTGCATTTTATGCATCACAAACTATTTCAACTTTCACTTTGACGATTTCAATCCTGACGCTTCCATGCAACATCCGAGGTCGTGTCTTCCAGCGACGACATGAAACTCTCCATGGTGCATTATCCTGTGCAAAAGTATCGTACTCGTAGTAATCGCAGTGATGCAATACAAATTTTCATCTCAAGGTAAAACAGCATTTACAAATTTCATTTGTCATGCTGAGGTAATTTGTAATGCGATTACTACTAGTACGATACTTTTGCAATGCATATGCATCCCGCAAAGGCGAAAGCCAAAAAAGTAACGGCTACTGCGAAAATCACGAAAGCAGCACTGGAAAAAGCCGACGCCGGCGCAACGTCTTCTTCCGATGACCATACCACTTTGACGATGGGACCGGCGAAAGCCAAGGCGAGGCTGGGCGCGTATGGGACTCTCAAACGTTATATTCTCAACTGTTACATGAATTTGTCATGCAAAATTGGCACCAGCGTCTACATGATCAATCTGCTTCGCATTACAAGTTCTCGGCGCGCTAGATAGCATTGCAATCTGTTCCAAACATGTAATGCAAAATGCGCAACCTTCTCCCTTTCACTTTTGCCATCCTTGCATTACCAATTCACGTAAAAGCTGAGAGTGTAACGTGTGAGAACGCCATAGCGAGCCCAAACAAACGCCGGAGTTTCTGCATGGTGCGACCGAGAGTGAGGCAGAGGGGGAGCAAAGAACGCCTGTGGACGCGGAGGTTTTGATCTCCCGGTCCAGCATTTACAAATCGATCGAAATTGACGATATTGGGCCGATTGAGGTATCTTCTACTCCGGCCGCGAGGGAGGAGGACAACGTATTGCGAAAAATCCAGGAACACGAGGAAAAGAAAAAGCAGAAGGTGCACGATCAGCAGCTCACAAAAACGATCGCCCCTCGGATCCGACCCGAAGGCGAACGCGGACCGCCGCCCGCGAAGGTGCAGCCTCAAGGGACTGTAGTTTCTGCTGCGGTTGAAAAAGAAGACCTGCTTCTCACAACTCCCTCGCCAGCCTCGGAGAAGAAACAGCGCACTCGGCCAGGGAAAACAAAGAAAAGTGAAACACAATCACCAAAAAAAGTACCGTTTTTCGTGAAAACCCCGGAAACGAATTTTTTTCGGCCGAACCGAGCAAATAAACAGGAGTCACTGCATCAGAAATCCGCCGCTGAGCTCGAGAAGCAGAAGTACCAGTTTCAGTGTACCTTGGTGCAGAAGTACGGCAGTATCTGCCAGGCGTTTGAGGCATTGGATATCCAGAAGCGGGGGAAGATCACCGTGCAGGAGTTTATGGTGGCGACCGTGAAAGTTTGCACCTACAACGGGGTTGGCCTCTGCAAGGACGGCGAGGAGGCAAAGGAACTTTTCCACGCGCTGAAGTATGCATTGCAAAAGTATGGCGCTTGTAGTAAGCCTAAGCGTAGGCATGACCGACACATGAGGATGAGTATGACAAGTCTCCTTCTCAATGTAAATCAGCATGACGAATTGCATCTTTATACGTGACTACAGAATTATTTGCATTGCACATAATGGTGCAAAAATCACTACAACTAGTGCGATACTTTTGCATGGGATATCAAGACAAACGGGGTTTTTCTGATGCGGGAACATCTCGGCATTGACCAAAGCGAGTGGGACGCATATCGGGCGAAAAAACAGAGAATGAGGTATGTTAATGTTTTTCTTTTTTAGCCCGAAGTTTAAGTCGAAGTGGCATGATTTCTATGTAGAATAAGCTGAGGCACATGCACAGGTAGCATCACCTTTTCACCTCCTCGGTACGAAAATGATGTTTATCAATATCACTCGACAAAAGCTCAGAATGTCGAATCCTTTCTTCGAGGTATGTCGAGTACCGGCGACACATGCGACTGGCGAAACGACAGGCGTTACTCGATCGGGTCAGGCAAGACTTTGTGATGAAGAACAAGGACAACATTTTGTACGAGATCCAAGATAAGGATAGTAACGCGCCCGGTTCTAGAAGAAGTCAAGGAGAAAATTATCGAGACGTCGGAAGTGAAGCGCCAACATCTTCTCTCCTTCCCGCAGCGGCCTTCAAGATTCGTTACCGCGACGCCTTCAACACGAGCAAAACGCAAGTGATCCGGAAGCTGGTGCAGAAAAACCAGAAACTGCAAGAGGAGCTGAATTTGAAAAACACACTGCTGGACGAATTGCAATTACGCTGCGAGGAGCTCGGAAGCCAAATTCAGTTTCCTGTCATGTTGAACACGGCAACGAGTAGTGGTGGGCCAGATGTTGAAATAGCTGCTTCGACAACAAATGAAGCCGGAGTTCCTGCAGAAAGTAACCAAGCTGCGACAACGCCAACCTCGCCTACGTCTGGTCGTCATCCGCAAAAGAACAGCCAAGCAGACGGCGACGACAGTCCCGCTCCACGGGAAACCGCCGCGGAGCGAGCCGCGTCGAAAACGTCGAACATAAGTCTCAACGAACTGTTACTCCGGCGCGCCGCGGGGCAAACGGTCGGGTTTGCGGGGGTGGAACTACTACAACCTGGAGGAGCTGCAGTGCCCGAGAGGGCATCGGGTAGAACGAGGTCGTCTGTTTCGGCAAATTTGGAGGATTTGGTGGCGACTTGCGAGAGGAATAACGAAATGCTGGCAAAGCACCGGGCGTATTTGCTGCAGTTACATGAGCAACTGGTGGAGGAGTTTTAGATAGAAGAGCATAGTAGGCAGAAGCTTCCTGAAAAAAACTAGAACATCGTTTATTTGGAAACCTGCAAGGTGGCGCCGGCAAATCATATACGCTAACTTTGTCGCAACTAATCTTACTTACTTAACTTTTACCTTTGCACACACTCAATTCCTGCTCAGCTTGTCGCTGAAGCAAATTTTTGAGAAAGTTCCATGTTTTTTTTTTGTAATTCGATAGTTGACTCAGTCACATGCATAGGTAAAATTGTTTCTTTCTTGTCATCGAAAACCATTTATGATGTGTGTATCCTTGTCATTGTCGCCACTCAAGCACGAGTGCAGATGACGTCGCCTCCACCGTGCCAGATGAACGAGAAATTGTTTCATAACTTTGGAAAAGAGAAAAAACTACTGATGTGCAAGTGTATCTCTGGTTTGGTTTGACTTCGTTGATATGAATCCACAGATATCATATGAGATTTTTGCTGGGCCTCAGCGTTTGGAAGAAAGCGATCTAAAGTCAAATTCTGGTATAGGTCGATTGATGTTCTTTACAACTCGTGCACGCCTGGAAGAAGAAAAGAGCTTTTTTTTTCTGCATCATAATTTTAAAGACCACAGTTATCTTTTATTCGTTTCCTTTTTGTTTTTGTGACCTGTGGGACATCCTGGTCGTGGTCCAGACGACTCCTGGTATGATCCACAGAGCTGTAACTTGAACCCCTTCGCCGTGCGCGAGTCTTTCTTACGCTTCGCGACTTTTTGCGCACCTTGGCGCCAGAGATGTGTCTCAAAGTTGAAACGCCTTGAATTCATCTGCATGGTAGGAAAAATGCTACACCGAGGAGTGGTGGAGTCCACTGAAGAATTTCTGTTTTGAACGAAAAAAATGTCCTCGCCTTGCCGTCCCTGAAGGAAACTCCTCGCGTGATTTCTTTCTTCGTGGCGTGCTGTTTCACCTCGTGATAAAATTTAAACTCTTACTACAAATGTACGCCCATACTAGTTTTCTCAACTATCCCTCTAACGCTGATAAAAACATTTCGATTTCGCTTCAAAATCAAAGCACCATACCGCTATGCCCACCTCGAGAATATGAGTTAACCCGTACGCACTTACGAAGTACAGCTTGACCAACATCTACTTGTACCTTACTAATCTATTCTTCGATACGTCTTCGCATTTCTTTTTCTAGGCCAAAGCACCCACTTCTGTACACTATCACAATTTCAAAAAAATACACTACCTAACCTTGTGGTACACTATTACTAAATTCATTGTCGTTCTCGTTGTACACTAGTGTAATCAAAAATTTTGCAAGGGCGGCGCTTCACTCATTTTCCCCGCCGCTAGGGTACATTAAATCCATTAGTTCGTATTTCAACGCGTCGTTGTTGTCCCTTCTACGTCCGTAGTGGACGTGTTTTCCTTGCTTTAACCGCTCAGCATTGAGTCGCATCTTCCTCCGCGGCGGCAATGAGCACCAGGGAAAGCGCCGCAACCACTCAAGATCCCTTACGGGATCCAGCCAGCCTTGCCTCGGCCGCAGATCCGCTACGGGGAACTGGTGCGACGACGACAGCTAGTGGCAACGTCATGCCGAGCAGAACCTCAGACCGAGAGGCCAGCAGGCACGAGCCTCCTGGATCTGGAAACACTTCTACTGGCATCAACAACGACCAAAACCTCGCAAATGATAGCCTTAACCCTCGCTACACCGACTATCTGGAGTCTGGTGACGTGGAGCTTCTTAACGGGGCCGTCGGCGGCGCGATCAAGGGGGGGAATAACATCGGGAAGGAGACGGCGGAATTTGATTACGCGGAAAAACTATTCAACGTGGACTACATGGCAAACGTCTTGCAGAAGACGGACGCGATCATTTTGGAGAAGAAGCTGCAAATTAAAAACTGGGAGGAAACAAAGCGGAAACTGCTAGTCGTGTTGATTCTCCAAGCGCTTCTCGGAATCGCGATCGCGGTTTACAAGACTTTCATGCAGCCCGATTTTGTCTCCAGCTCCGAGTACTATCTGCAGCCGGTGGACGTGGTGTTTTTGCTAGACTCCTCCGCCGTGATGAAGCCGAGCGCGGAGCAGCAGAAGAAAACAGTGCTGCAATTCGCAGACACGTTTTCCACGGTCTTGGACGATTTGAAAAGAAAACAAGAGAAAGAGTCGGAGAGTGGTGCTGCTGCGATGGTAAACAGTCGGGTCAGAATGCTCGGAGTGGACGATGATCTAGAAGGTCGCTCCGCGTCCAGCAGTGTCGTTGGGAGGCAAGAAGGTGGTGATCCCAGTATAATCGCTGTTCAAGATGAGGAATACACCACGAAAAACGCCATCTGGCCCACGGACCACTCCGGGTTGCGCTTGAGTTTGACGCGCTATGCGTCGGTTTTACCGAATGGAGCGGTGGAAGATGTCGGGTTGACGGAGTTCGTGGCGGGAAGTTCTGCCGATCAGGGATCTTCATCTTCAAGTAGCGCCAGCGCAGCTCCAGGAAGGACCAAGAAACTTGACGAAAAACGTCTGCGCGACTACTTTTCCTGCCGACCCGCTAGTACGTACTATGGAAGAAAAAGTACAGGCAGTGCGCCGAGTGCTACAAACAAAAAGACCATGCAGTATTCCGAATCTGACGCTGCTTTGTTCCCTGCGATGGAGATGTGCGGGAAAGTGCTGCAGCAGGAAGACGAATTCCACGCAGCGATCGAGAGAGTCCTGAAAGACGAGGAGCAAACCGTGCTCGACGTGAACCAGCCTATTGGGTGCCTGGTGAAAATCCACAACGAGAAACTGCCCAAATCCAGTCCGTGCTACAGCGCTGTCGACGGACAAAACCCCTTCCCGGGGAAGCTTTTCCCCCTAGTACCGACAAAATCTTCGGGATCATCTTCGATCAAAAATTACTACGTTGATATTGACGCGGTGGAGCTGTTTCACGCGGGCGCGGACAACGTCAGCTGTGAAAATCGGATAGCGTTTTGGCGGAACAAATGTGGAATAAAAACACCAAGTACTAGTAGCACACCAGCGATAGATGGACAGCAAGACGCACAATCTGCTATCAAAGTCCGTTACGTGGCGCCCCCGGCGTGGAAGGAATCTGAGCCGCATTTTGTGGAGCGGAAGGACCGGCTGCATAGGTATTTGACTTCGAAGTTTGTGAAGGAATTTGGAATTTCGGAGCAAGACACGGAGGATTTGCTACTCGCGTTGGAAGACGACAGCGGGGCGGGAGCAGCAGCAGCTACGACAACTTCGATGGGAGCAGGTGCAGCCGCAACCGAACAGGTTTTCCACCTGCCAAGCAACATGTTCGGGAGTTTCCCAAAGCATTCAGTGTGTGTGCAGAGTGAAAAAATGGTGAGTCCACCTCCGACGATAAGCAAAGGCGGGGTAACATCAAAAACTGAAACCGGAATCACGTCTCCGTCTTCTTCACCGCTATTGAGGCAGTACCAGATTGAGATGCCGGTGGATCCGGAGGAAGCTACTGATGGAGGATATGCATTGCAAAAGTGTCTGGGTCTGGAAGAGTGCAGCTTGTGATGCTAACTTTGGACTCGAAAGAAATTTGTATAGCTAAAAGAGCAAGAGGACTCCAGTTGTCGCTATGCGGAGACGGCATTTGTCATGCGGGATCGATTGTCTTCAAGAAGCCCGTAACAAACCTGTGATGCAGCTAGGGCATGCATCACAAACATCATGGGTCATGCAAAATGTGCATGACAACGTTCCACTCTTTCAGACCCAGACATATTTGCAGTTGTGCATAGAGGAAGCGACAGCACAACTTCAGAGCACAAAACGACCATGTTGAAAATCCTCCTGACTCAAATTGTTCCCGGGTCCCGGTATTTTGCGATTTCGATTGACCACACTTCGTCATCGACCACGACAGCAAAAAATCAAAACCGCGATCTGTTCCTCCAGAAGCTGCTATGAACTGCAAAAGTATCGTACTCGTATATATGCATTACAAATCTCCTTAGCATGAGAAATAAAATCTGTGATGCGGATTTGCCTTCAGAAAATGACTTGTAATGCAAGATTTGCATTTATACGAATGCGATACTTTTGCACAGGATAGCTGCAAAAACAGTGCAATTTGTCCACGAAGCCCTACGATTTGGGGAAAATTGACTGGGTCACCCGGGAGAAGTCCAAACGGTTCTGCGTCGTGCTATGGAGCTCTGAAGTGTTACATTCTCAACTGTCATATGAATTTGTAATGCAAGAATGGGAAAATAAGTATAGGGGAGAAATTGCGCCTTTTGCATTCCAGGCTTGGCACAGATTCTAATGCTATCTAGCGCGTCAAGAACTTGTCATGCGAAGAAGGCTTGATGGTGTGAAGAGTCGTGATAGTATTTTTGCATGACAAGAAGTCATGTAACAGCTGAGACTGTAACGCTTGAGAGCCCCATACGTGCTAGGCGACCCCAGTTCGAAGTGTGAATTGGGCTCGGGGAAGGCCTTTCGCGATTTGCTGGACACTATGCGTTGCAGAAGTATCGTACTCGTACGAATCGCAGTCATGCATGGCAGATTCTATGGCCTAAGGGAAAAGAGCATGACAAATTGCACTTTTGTTCTTTGAAAAAATTTGTCATGCAATTTGTACTTCGTGCGATACTTTTGCCATGCATAGACACGATAAATTACCAGGGCAAGGAGGAAGAGTTGATCGAGCACTTCGGCGGAGATGACCAGGAGGTCTTGGGTATCCTGACCAAAAATGTACCCACCCCAGAGTTGTCATGCAGATTTGCAGCTACAGGGAGATTTGTAATGCGCATCCACATGAGAGGCATTTCCAATCGCGTTTTGCGCTTTGTAATGCTGTCGACAGGATGAGTAGATGGATTTCTGTTGCGGCTGTGCTTGCTAAACTGCACTACAATACAGAGACAAACTTGTCATGCTGGGACCCCAAAACTTCTCGATTTGTGTTGCGAGATCCCCAGCTTGACTCTGGTGTGGGGACGTTTTTACATAGGATATTGGGCGGGAATCCGTTCGAAAAAGGGCACGTGATGCTGGAAACTTGTGGGAAGATGATCGGTGGAAATGATAGTGAGAACAACGCTTTGATGCAGCAGTTATCTCCGGGAACAAGTGCTGGCATCAAAAGCCCCGCAAAGTCATCTTCTATTGACGAGCGTCTGCTGTCTGACATTAGCGAGGAAAAAGCGCAAGCCGGGGAGCTCCGAGGCCTGCAGGCGGTTTTTCACGCACGGCGAAGTAGTACAAGAGCCAACTCGTGGTCACTAGGAGCACATCAGTTTTCCAGCGGTGCGGTGGAAAAAGCTCTCGAGAGAAAGTTCCTGGGCTCGCGAGGACCGGCAGATGTCGGGGCGAATCATGATGCATGGGAGCTGCGAGCAGGAAGCAGCTCCTTCAATCTGAATGATCAAACAGATCTTCATCTTCCTGGCAGCAGGAACTTAGCAGAAAGCACAGAAGCGGGTGCTGCAGTAGAGGATGAAGCATCTCCCACCTCACCGCCGTATTCCCCGAAAACTATGGCCGAGCTGGACGCCTCGCTCGTTTTTCTCTTCTTTTCCCAACAGGAAAATCTCGAATCCACTCTCCTCTCCCGCCCCTCCACCCGGACGTTTTTCGAGAAGGCGACTGGGTGTGTGGCTGTGGACAACGCGTCCTCTTCGGGATCATCTGGTTCTAGTACAGGGGGAGCCAGTGCAGGCGGCGATCAGTTCCAGTTAGTCGAACGCAACTCCCCCGCCGCTGGCACAACAAGCAGCGGCACAGCTAACACCCAGCCATCCCGTTGTGCGAAATTTGTCATCGCGAAGAACGATCAGGAGATGGACGAGGGT